ACAGGAGCTACTGCTTTTTCATGTTGGGAGTCACTACAGAATTCACATGTGTCCAATTTACTTTTTTATGCCAAGCTTGCTGCATGAAGATGGAACTCCTTATTGCCACATTTTTTTGTCAGAGGTTCACTGTAATTCCTTGCCTGGTTCAAACTAGAGATTTTGTCCTTTCATTTATTTATAATGGCAAGTTCATACCAAGGCTGTCATTTTTCTCTATGATGTGTAAAGTTATTAACACATACCAATTACAAGGTTCTCCCATTTCCTTTTTACTAAGAGTTGAGATAAGAAACAAGTTAGATAGTTCTTTGAGAAGAATATTTATGTTACCATAAACCAGTCCTGGTGCCGAAGGGGAGATACTGTTCCCTTTCTTTTCCTCAGTTTGCTAGTTGTGTAACAAAAGAGATGAGGACCTTCTCTTTGGTTGAAACTAGTCTAGAAGACCAAGTGTTGGTGCCTCAGGCTGCTCATGGAACTTCAGAACAAAGAAGTGAAGGAGAATATTAAAGATGCTGAAAATACGGCCACTTGTCTATTTAGGACTCTTGTGCTTTTGTAAGGGATGCAGCCAAGTGGTTTTAAGAAAATTCATGCTTAAGAGCCTGTCTGTAAAGGGAATTATCTGCACGGCTACTGTGTGATGGGCTAAGTGGTAAATTATTATAGAATGGTTTGAGTTAGAAGGGACCTTAAAGATCATCTAATTCCAACACCCCTGCCATGGGCAGGGACACCTTCCAAGCCCCACCCAACCTGGCCTGAACACTTTGAGGGATGGGACATCCACAGCTTCTCTGGGCGACCTCTTTCACACTGACCGTGTACTAACTCTTCATTTTTGTCTGAGTGGATGCTCTTGCCTTTGGATGTGCCTCCAGGACAACTCCCTCCAGCTTTCACAGCAGAGGGACCTGAACACTTGTTTGCATGTTTTTATTTGACAGTGAAATCATAGCATGCAGAGCTAATTTTGGTCAAGGCAGAAAGATGAAAAAGAACATACAGTTAATGGAAATATTTGCCATGTATGTCTTATGAGTCATTTTTTTTCTTCCACTTGCCAAAACAAGTTAACATGGAAAATGGCTTTACTAGTGTAACTGGGAGGACCTGTTTGTGTTCATAAAGCATGAAAACTGCCAGCAGCCTTTGCATCCCACAGTTTTACCTTTTGTTCCCCTCCCCTAAATCCCCTCAGCATGAGGGGTTCAGAGTTCTCTTCTTCTATCCCTGGAGGAGGACAGGAGGCACCAGCTTTGCAATCCACATCAGTACTAGATGCTCTGCATACATCATGGTTCTGATCTTCCCCTCTGTGTCCAGCACTCAAGATCTGCTCTGATATGAAGGATTTTTATTTGTAATAATTTTCCAAACAACAGATTCCCCCTATTCTCCCTCCAGACCCAGGACTTTGTCATGTATGTTTTCTGTTTTCCTCATCTGTTTCAGGTTTTTTTAGGTGAGCTGTGAACATACTAATTTTGGCAGGGAAATTAAGTAGGGGTGAAATGGGGTTATGGTTACATGGCAAGGTGTTAATGGGTATCCTCACTAGGTCTTTAATCTGCAGTTGTGCAGGTGTTTGAGAGTTACAGCTTTTCTAACCAGATGATAGGGGTTTCACATGTTCATACGTTTTCTCTTCTGTTTCAATTTTCATTCCCAAATTTATTATAAATGTGTTACTGATGTATGGGATGATCCCTGGAATGCTGGAGTAGACAGAACAATGTTCAAAGAATATTGTGTAAAACTAGACAAGCACCTGCCCTTCAGGAAAGTGCAGGACTTAACAAAAGGACTGAACTCCACCAGAAGCCTTATAATTCTATATACAGTGACTCATTTTTCCTGGCTCATGACTTCTTCCTATGAAAAGTCTATATATTTGAATATCTAGCAGATGGCACTGTGGTTTAATTATACTCTATTCTTTGAAACAGTTCTTTTACAATAGTGCTGTACAAATTCTGTTAACCCTGTGCAGAATCCTGGTGTTTTCTTCACCGCTTAAGTATATTCTATGAAGGTTTTAGAGAGCTCCTTTTTACTTTCCAGAGAGATAAAAGTTTCATAAAAGTGTGAGAAGATCATTCAGATTTAGGGGTTTTTTGTATCACACTTTTTTGGCCAGAACTTTACACAGAATGGCAATTATGCAAGAAAGATGCTATATGTTGTTCCTTCCCTTACATGAAATTTTAAGAAATGCAAAACATTTTTATGCGATCTCCTAAAATGGGTGATGGAGGTCCCACTTGAATGAAGATGAAATTTTGCAAAGGAGGTGATAGTCTACTGTTGTTACTTGCCAAAACCAGCCGACAGCACAACCCAAAATAATTACATCTCATTTATTCTCTTTGGTATGTTACATGTAGGACAGAACAGTGTTGTAAAAATTATCCTTACTGATGTCCCGTACAAGTTCAATGAACTCTTGTCAAGAATTCTCTCTGTATCCTGAACAGAAGTAAGTGTTTAAAGTTATGCAGGTTCAGTGCATTTCTGAGAGGACTGAAACATTAGTTGTGTTTACTAGCACACTTCTATTCCTTGCCAGGTAAGTGCCCTGGGAAAGGAGATTTTCCACCACTCTTCAGCCTTCTTACAGGAGCTCCCTTAGCTGGTATTTCTGGACAAGTCAGGTGTACACTGGTGCATGTGATCCATGTATTATTTGCATTTACTTTGGTTTCAATATAGAGTTTGTTTCTCAGTCCTATAGGCTTCTACTCCTGTGGTAGTTCAGGCACCCTGGCTGGTCAGGCTGCACTTCTCATGCTCTAGACATCAGTTTCCTCCCACCTTCTTTCTTACGATGAGGAGGATAGGTTGTGATTCCTCTAAGTGCTTACTAAGGACCTGGTGAAAAACCAGGCAGGAAATCCAGTCATTAATATTATGTGATATGTGAAAAGCATCTTGAAAGGGTAATAAACAGAGAATGGTTTGAAATGTTTTGTGAAGTTTGCGAAAGTAACCACATCTATACATCATGAAGATCCTAGAAATGCGAGAGCTGAAATGCTGAATCTGTGAAAAGAAGTGAGGTTTCTGTAGGTACTAACACAACTCACAGGAATTGCTGACCCCCAAGGGTGTGTAAATTACTCAGGTTTTGTAATTTTTAACATTCTCCACTTTTTCTAAGACTAAGGCTCTAGCAGAGATTTTTTTGGTGACTAGACATTGGATTATTTGAAACAAATCACCTGTGCTTCTTTAAACCAGGGTTCCTATCAATATGTACTCATAAAAAAGAGATCTGGTTAAAACCAAAAAAGATGCAGAACAAAAGCTTTGATTCAGCAAGATTTTGAATACTCTGGCTCATTTCCATGGCACACAAACTCAAACTGATGTTTAATTGTATGAGTTAACTTTGATGGAATTGCTCGTGTGTATAAAGTGCTTTGTCCTTAATTTTGTTAGTGCCAAGTGCTTGACACTTACTGGGGTTAAGTCCTTTGATCTTGTTCCTTTCAAAATAGGTGGTAGTTCAAAATTATGGAAAGCATCAGTTTTCAGGAAAAGCAAGGAGAATATGTGCTACGTGTCTTCAGTATGCAATTGCAGCGGAAATACTAAATATAAATGGAATGAAAGAGAAAAACAGGGCTAGTTTAGAATTGCATATGAACTATCTACGTTGAAAAGAGGTCTCTTTTGGGGATCCAGGCTGGTACTTCCTGTATTTATTTATTGAAGGACTTCATGGATAAAATTTCTGGAGCAGTGATGATTTATTTCTGAAACAACACAAGTATTTCCATCAGACTGGTATTTTACCAACTCAGTGTATTCACCTGAAAATAGAGGCATATGATTGAAAGACAGAGGTTAGGTGAAGCCAAGCTAAATATTGAGAAGATACATACAGGTATTCAGATGTTGTATAGGTGAGTAAAAGAGAGAACATTTCAGTAATGTTTAGAAGTTTAGAACAAATGCATTTGGTGTCCCAGCTGTTTATCCTGTGCCAAATAATGCCCAGCAGAAAAAACCATAATCATAACCATAATCATAAATTACAATAATAAAAGTTCTTGGATTTAAAGGTTTTAATGTGTGTGTGCATAGAGTAATGAAAATGCGTTTAGAACGTAAAATTCTATGCAAAGAGTAGAGAAATAAAAATACCTGACAAGTTAATTCTTAAGTTTTTCTCAAAAAATTAGAACTGAGAACGTTAATGTAATGTAGAGTTGCATTAATAATAATCAGTTACATATTTTTTTTAAAGTTGTGCTACTTGCTAACTTATAAAATTAGTGTTCTACAAATTTGCCACTTGGTGGTGCCACATTGATTTATAAATCACAAATGTGAACTAAGACGAGCTGTTGAAGTTGTTTCTGAGGAGTGTACACTAAGATGCACAAATTTGGTTGGAAAACTTTGATTCTGTGACCGGGGTGGTACAGCTGTGCTCAGCAGCAGTTCTGGCCTCCATTCCTCAAACCCCATATATTGAGTTCTTCTCTGCCCCTCCAATACAAAAGACAGTAAGTACATAGCAAAGCTACATCTGTGGTGAGGATGGAGTTTCTGGAACGTTTCTCCCATACCATGTGCCCAGCCGAAAATAGTTTGGATTCAGTGATATTCCAGAAATGGTGTGGAATATGGCTTTGGGGTTTCTGGAGGCAGCTGCAGGTGTGCTGCAAGCAGTAGTATTTTTGTAGGTGTTTGACTGAAGTACTTGCTGTCCAGTTGTGGTTTTATCATTGAGGTCTGTTTCCTTGAATTTAAGGAAGGGCGATGATTATCCTAAATGTAAATATAAACAAAAAGACTCATGCAATTAAATTAACTTTCTTCCATCTCTCAGTGGCAGGGTTGCTCTTCAGCAGGCTCGAAGTTCCTGTGTTTTATTAAAATTTCTGTATTTGTCAGTGTTTCAGTGTTTAGCATTGAAGAATGTTTTCACCGGACTTAACGACTTCTTTCTTTTTTTTTTTTTTTCTTTTTCTCTCTTAATACTGCAGTTCCAAAAGAATTGGTGGAGCTTCACTTGAAACTGATGAGAAAGATTGGGAAGTCTGTCACAGCAGACAGATGGGAAAAATATTTGATCAAGGTACAATATGCACGTTGTATTATCCTGCAATGCTGGAATATGGTTAAGATGAGTAGTTGTGTGAGCAATCCCTGGTATGAATTATAGTGAGCCTTGGGCTGTGCTGTGGCCAGCATTGATGTGCGTGCCCAGACTGTAGTTGCATCAGATCCCAGCTTAACTTTCAGTCTGCCTAGGCTTGTGTAAAAAAATCTCTGAAAATAGGCATTATCTTCTGCATGTCAAAGAATATCCACCTTCATATTTGGTAGGGAAAATACTTTTCTGAGCATTAAGACACTAAATAAAGAAGATTTAGTAGCCTGTAAGTGGGCTAAATTGAGCAGAGAGATTTATACAATAACAATTCATTTGTATATCACTTGTCTGGATATGATTTAATTATTGTGATTTGGTTGGTATTCATAGAGGAACTAACCATATAGAGGTCTTTTAGCATGTGTTAATAATAAAAGAAAGTATTGCAGTGATTTATGTCTGCATACTCAGAAAGGCACAACTAAGATGAAAATGTAGTTATGCATCAGTAAAAATAGAGAATCCTGTTGTTTTACATAATTCTGTCTTGGTATTTTAATTACTACTGTGCCGTTGTTGACACTTCACATGCAAATAGTTTTCACTTTAAGTAATTTACACTTCTTCAGAGTATAAAAATGTATGGATAGTCAAAATTAATAGATTACTATTTCCCCTCTGAATGTATTCTATGTGTCTTTCCATCCACAGAATTGCAATCTTGTTATTGTCTGTAGAGCCACAATCACATCTTGCTTAGAAATACAGCATCATGTAATAGCAACCGTACAAATAATGGCACGTGGCAAATTCAGTTGCAGTTTGCCTCCTCAAGCTTTACAGAGACCAGAGCTTTGTCTTGAGGTCTGTGTAGTCTTAAGATGATGAAGTTTTTAGGACTGGGGATATGTTGGGGAATAACCTGGTGAAAAGCCTTAGATTAACTCTAATCCCTTACCCAGTTGTAAAGTATTGATGATATTTTTAAAAAATAATTATATAATAATTTATGTAACTTCTGTATGCTTCATGTACTACCAAGTACTGTGGTTGCTGAATTGTGTTAAATTCCCTAATAAACCCAAAAACCATTGCAGCAAGCTGAGAAAACCGAGCTCTGAGTCGGGAACTTATGTACCCCATTGAAACCACTTACCAGTTGTGTTGTAAGGAGAAAACAGAGGGATAAAACAAGTTTATGAGGGAGTAGTTTGGAAAATCTTCTTCAGCAGGCATTGAAAGGATGGGGAAGCGGTAAGGAAACCTTCCCTCACACCCCTGTTAAGATCAAGTAAGTGTTAATAAATTCTACTTCATTTAACAGTCTCCAGAGCTAACTTGAAGTTTATTCTGGACAGTGATTCAAAGTAACCTTGAAGAACAAAGGAATTTGACTATAGCTAATTAGAAAGGTATGCTAATATTGTCCCGATTTCAAAGGAGTATAATTAATTTAGAAAAACAAGGAAGAGCGTTGGGAAATGTCATAGAAGCCAGGAAAAACTGAAAAGATGTGAGGCCACTGAGAGCATTCTTCCCTGATGCCAGCAGTGTTGTTCCACATATTATTGATACACTCTAAGAGGCAAACTTGACCTGTTTTTCCTTTGTTGGAAACTATTAATGTGTTGCTTTGCTAAAACAGGGTTTGACACATTCTAGATGTGATCATGTTCTTATTTAGGCAGAAACTTTTTGTGGAGGACTTCCATGTTTTTAATATTTGCATGTATGTATTACTGTGTTTTGTTTATATATCAACGATTTATAAAATGTCAAATTTCATTTGACGGTTACACTCATAAAGAATGTGATAAAAATTGTCTCTAAGCTATGGCTGGTATTTTGACAGATTAATATATTTTGGGATAGGAAGTGAACATGGTAGCAGAGAGTTCTTTCCCTTCCCTCTTCTGGTAGTGAACCACCCAAGTTAGGTCACCAGCATGCTCACTAGTCTTTTTCTGGGAGAAAATGGCTGGGGAGAAAATGGGCTCCAGGAATCTGACTTTTCTCCTCTCTATAGGGAATGAATGTGGTCATGTATGACCGAGATAAAGAAATGGCTTGTCCTAAACATTCCAACAACTACAAGGAATTGTCTATCTTAGCTGTTCTTTGAGAAACATGTAGTTAAGTCACATTGAACTGACAAAATGTTTTACTTGACTATTGTCAAACACATTTTGCATTTTTCTACGGATAAGATTTCTGTGGACTGGTCCATTTGGAACCTTTAATCAGCATGTTCTGGGTACACTTGTCTTTTCCAATTATTAGAAATCAAGTATCTGTAGTCCCACACAGACAGACTTCCCTTCTGTGTCTTTCATCTTCCTGTTTTTGTTGTTTAAAGTGAATATTTGGAACATGGCAGTAGTAAGTGTCGGGTGCCATTGTAGCTTATTTGGAAATATTTGAGAGAGAGAAAGATGTTCCAGCATCTCTTGCAGGGTGGGAAGGTGCTGACCACCCTTTAGCCAGCTGTTCCTGCAAGCAGCAGGTTTTTGATCAGTGTGAAGCATCCCCTCAGTGAAGGCAGAGACTAAGATTTCAGCAGAGCCTGAATCAATGAGATGTGTAGTTCAGGGTTGTGACAGTACTTGTCAGGAGAAAGCACAATTATCTGGTTTTTAATTGTCAAAATGTAGTAATTTCAGTTTGAACAGATGCTTCATCAGCTCTGATGTCTCGTAACTTTTGCTTTGACAGTCACACACTTCCACAGTACGTGAAGCTTCTCATTATGGCTTTCATACTTAATGAGTAAGTAATGAACAGCAACTGGCACATGCCCTGAGCGAGGGTTTTGATATCGTTTCCCAGTGTTCTTCACATTATGTGGTTGAATATCAGAGAGAAAGTAAAGTAACCTCATTCTGTGAGTGGGCAGCATTTGTCCCCTGCTGTGAGCTTTGGCTTTGCATCAGAGAAGTCCCTGCATAGTATTCCTTAACCTCAGAGCAGGAAAATCTGCTCTTCAGCAGGATCCCTTGTGACCAGAGTGCTCTTCAGTGTTCTCTGTAGGTTGTAGTTTAAAGTCACAGTATGATTTGTGGTGGCTGAGCTGAGCTAACTGCAGGCTTACCTTTGGGCCACTTAAGAACTGGTGTCAGTACTAGGGATTGTGGAGGTCAGTAATGTGGCCCAGGTGATAGTGGAGGGGTAGTGGCCCCTTTTCTTGGTTGGAGTCCAGGTAGATCTGCTGATCTGTGCTTCTGGTGGGTAAAATTTAGGGTTATTTTTGCTGCTGTTTCCAGAGAAAGCTGCTTTCAGATATGATTGACAGGTTTCTAAGTAGCTTGTTGACTGTATCTTGTTTTTAATAATAATTTGGTGAGTGGGAGACTACACTGTTTTGATAGAACCCATCCTTGCAGACTGAAGGGCACCAGCATCTCATGTGTTGATTTGGACAGTTGTGATTCAGCAGTGACACTTCAAAATAATCTCAGCTGGAGGTGTAGCTGTGATCAGCTTTCACCTCCTCATGGATATTTCCACTGGAATAGCCTCACGAACTGGAGATCCTGCCATGTGTGCTCAGCTGATGAGCAGCTTGTCTCTGTTCATGAGAGTTGTCTTAAGCATGTCTGAGTTGTTTAGGAGGAGAGGAAATTCCTTCTCCACCTTTATTATTGGAGCTCATACTGATTCAATCTATTTATCCTCTATGGCCGCTTCTTTTTGTGTTAGTTTTTTTTCACCCGTATTGGTGTGGTTGAATTTATTTGCTTTAAGGAAATTGAAATTGTCTATACTTACTATATTTTAAAATATCTATCAACAGCTTAAAGCCCAAGGTATTTTCTGAAGAATAATAATTCTACCATGTGGAGTGAGTAGCAATTGCATTTGTTATCTGCAGTACAGTTGAAGGACTTAGGGGGCCCCAAGAGACCCTGACAGCTTATGTGCTAAATGCTCTAACCCTAATAAGAAATGCTATCTACTTGATAGAATTTATATTCAAAACAGACAGAAATAGCAAAATGTGAGATATTTGCGCAGCAAAGACAAGGATACCTTCCCAATCCAGAGACATGCTATCTAATTTAGGATATTTGGAGAATGTGGTGGTGATCAGGGCCTCAATGATCTGCTCTTCCGTGGAGGTGCACCAGTGCTTTCTAACTTACTTCAGTTTTATTTTTTGTGTGAGGCTTTCTGACTGCAATCCCAAAGAGATCATGTATAATGAGTTACCGTAGTAAGGTATTATTAATAAAAAAGTTTAAAGTTGCTTTTATCTCCTAACCCTAGAAATCTACTTCTTTTGTTTGTGACAGATATGCCAAGAATTCAACAGCACTTGGGCTTGGGAGATGGAAAAAAAAGGATACCTAGAAATGAGTGTTGAATGCAAACTGGGGATTCTGAAGGTACACGTTCATCAGCTAAGATTCTAAATTATTTTTTACTCACTTACATAAGTATCTTGGAGATTTAGATTTGACTTCCTCATTCACTCTTGCAAATTCAACTTGACGGAACCATAGGTGCATATATTAAATAGAGAGCTGATCTTGGAATAGACATGATATTCATTATTGTGGTATGGGCCCAAACTGCATGTAACACTTTGTTTGCATATTTTTCACACTTTGTATGACAGTAGTTTTCTGCTTACTGTTTTGTCAACAGCTATCTGTCTTTGCAGTATACACGTATAAAAATGCATGTTACCTTGCTGAATTCCAAAGGCAAAGATGGGCCTTAATCTTTTCAAGTCTTGAGAAAACTGTCAGGGTTGGTTCCAAGTTATGTATGACTTTTAATGTAGAATGAGAGCTTGCGCTATGTAATAAAATTTAAAATAAACTTTCTAAACTGTCCAGAAAAAAACAAACAAACCTTGTCCCTCATTTAAAAGCAACATGGTCTGGAAAACTGATAGCTCCAGCTGACACACAGATCCAACAGAGAGAGGCCTAAAAAGAAGTTCCAAATTACACTGAAAGGAAGTGAGCTGATTTTCTTCTCTCTCTTTATATTTTCAGTATTTTAACAGTCTTTCTACTTTCTCATGTTTTCAGTATCTCTGTGAATGTCAGTTTGATGACAATCTCAAGTTTAAGAATATCATTAACGAGGAGGATGCTGATGCTATGCGTCTGCAGCCCATTGGTCGGGACAAGGATGGCCTGATGTACTGGTATCAGCTGGATCAAGAACATAACGTCAGGATGTACATAGAGGAACAGGATGACCAGGATGGATCCACGTGGAAGTGCATTGTTAGGTATTCCTTTTTTTTTTTCCTTTTTTTTGTAGGAATTTTAACTATTTGTGACTGGGACTCAGAAATGTATTTCAGTAAGTTGTCGTTTCTCACAGAGTAGGACTCCTGACAGTGGGATTTTCTGCCTTCACATCTATGTTCTAGTGAAAAATCATATACAGAAATAACTTGCTGATTTGTTGGTAGCAGCCATCACGTCATTATTTTCCTGCTTAGTCAAGCTACAATGAACATATAGAAAGCGTACCAAGAGAAGGCACTCCTAAGAATGATGGCACCATATTGCTTACTGGCCAGCTAAATGTCTTAGAAAATAGAATACTCTTGCTTCTTTAACTTCAGTTTTGTTAAGAAAGTTATAAGTGGACAGATTTGGTTTGGGGGGAATTATATTGCAATTGCTCTTGTTGGAAGGAATCTAGAGTAGATCAAGGAGATGGTCAGAGGACTGGAGCCTCTCCTGTGAAGACAGGCTGAGACAGTTGGGGTTGTCCAGCCTGGAGAAGAGAAGGGTCCAGGGAGACCTTAGAGCCCCTTCCAGTACACAAAGGGGCTCAGGAAAGATGGAGAACTTCTTACAGTCATGTTCTGGTAGGACAAGGGGGAATGGCTTCAAACTGACAGAGGGCAGGTTTAGATTTGATATTAGGAAGAAATTCTTTACTGTGAGGGTGGTGAGGCACTGACACAGGCTGCCCAGAGAACTTCTGGCTACCTGACCCCAGGAAGTGTTCAAGGCCAGGTTGGATGGGGCTTTGAGCAACTTGGTCTAGTGGAAGGTGTCCCTGCCCATGGCAGGGGGTTTGGAACTAAATGGTCTTTGAAAGTCCATTCCAACCCCAACCGTCTGCAGGTTATTTACTGCCATAACTTCAGTTTAAACTTAATGTTTAAATCAGTGGTTTAAACATTACTAGCCTTATTTCTAGTTACATCTAGACAGCTGCTGTGGGTGAATAAAGTAAATGTATGTAAACAAACAAGAGCTGAGCGGTGTATATCTCTTTTGAGCATTATAGACTCCAAAGATCATTGCCAAAAGTGGAAGAAATCAGGGTTCTACTCCACGTTCACAGCAGAAAGCCACAGTAATGCATTGAGAAATCTGAAAAGGTTTTAAAACGTGAGATTCCACATCTCAGGGTTATTGCAAGTCTCCTTTCTTTCTGTAAACCTGGAGACAGCAAGTTGCTGAACATTGGCTTTGAAAAAGAAATATGAGAACCTTTTTATTCTAGTCTATTATGAAAACAATGACTCTGTTCAATCATGGCTCAAATTCTTTATACATTAAGGAGTTTTTTTAATAGTTAGATATGCAGTTTAAACAAGGAGTTACAGTGAACTGAGATTCACATTCATACAGATGTGCACTGACATTTTCTTGCTGTCATTACTCCAATAGCTGGAGTTTTCTAGACAACTTGGTGGTGCTTGCTATGTGTACTTAGGATGCATACTTGCAAAAAGTATCTGAATTATTTTGCTAATTGCTTTTGAAAATTTCACTTGAATGGTGTGGTTGCTTCTTTGGTGCATGGGCAGAAAGCTGTAACTTCTCTGTTGAGAGAAAAAAAAATAGCAAAGAAAAATCAGTGAGAATTGGCAGGAGGATAATGAATAAAAGAATAATAGTAGCAACTTGGATCCAGACCCAACAGGAATTGAGGTTCAGATAAGTAGATAAGGTCCTTCCAAAAACATAACATTATTTTGGTATGGATAAATGTGAAACTTCTGACTGCAAAGTTCCAGCCATTCTGGTAGGACAAGCATTTCACTGTGCTTGTGTTTTCATTATATAACTCTATAAGGTTTCCAGGGTAGTGTTCATTTAAGGAGATAGTATTTGTTTATTTTTCATGAATCCCTTTGGGGTAAGTAAGTGGCTTATCAGACAGTATGTTTTTCACTTCTAGAAACCGCAATGAGCTTGCCGAGACCCTTGAGCTCTTGAAAGCACAAATTGATCCTGCCCTGTTGAAAAATAACAATTCTCAGCAGGAGAACTCATCACGTGAAAGTCCAAGCATAGAAGATGAAGACACCAAAAAGGGTGAAGAAGCAGCTACACAAGGTTTTCTGCCTTCTTATATCAAATTTTAAATGTTGTGATGTGGCAATGTTAGTCTTCTCAGCTTCATGAAAAGTTACTGTGTTAGATTAGGACTTTTTAAGGAAGTAAAAAATGTTTCTGTTCAAAGTAAATCAAGTAAATATTGAATCCTTTGAAATTATAAATATATTTTGAGATTTTTAGTGCATATTTAAGCTCAAGAAGTTATTTATAAGAAGAGAGTTATGTACAAGTTGTTTCCTAGGTAATTTTTTTTTTGCTGTACTGTTTGTATAATATTGTAAATACTCATTATTGTATGTTTTTGTGGGGCATTGAACTGTTGCCAAACTTTTCTGTGCTAGCTACATTAAAATCTGAAAAAGAAAAAAACCTACTTGTGCAATGCCATGATTGAAATCAATATAGTATTGGGTGTGGTGTTTATTCTTACTTTTGAGTTTGAATCAGACAAATATAGGTTATTTCCTCAAATGTTTCATAATCAACATGATTTTTCAAGAAGATGTGAGATTAAGTTAAAACAATTAAAAATACTAAAATACTGTAGAAGTGAAGCCGTCCTTACGTACCTCCACTGTATTGTTGTTATTAGAATCATAGAATCGTTTAGGTTGGAAAAGATCGCCAAGATCAAAGCAAAGAACTTTTTTCTTTCCTTATTATCATGTCATTGCACATATCTACTAACTTGCTGACTTGTTGGTTTGTGCATTGATTTTACTAAGTATCAGCTAGCGTGAAGTATTTTATGTTATAAGAATCTGATCTTTTTTCTGGTCAGGGAAAAGAGCTAAAAGCTTGTTATCCCAAGTAATTTTACCCCAGTTTTATTACCTCGTATTATTATTTTGTTAAAATACAGGAAAATATTTTCACAATCAGAAACAAGATTTAAGTATTACAGTGTGTTAGTAGGTGTTTTTTCAAATGTGTATGAGTTAATTGGATATATGGAATTAGTTGGGGCCTGTCTTGGTTCTGAATACCAGGGAGAAAGACCTGCCATTTTATTCGCATCCTTTATGCAACAAACAGTGCAGAATTGAAGAAATAAACAAAACATTTAGATAAATTTGGAGTAGTTGTGGAAACATTAAAAGAAGATTGTAGAAATGGCAGTAAATTGTGATAATCATCTGCAGAATTGTCTTTCGGTCTTAAGCATCGCTAATATCTAATTCTGCATGTAAGTGCCAGCACAACCTGAGTGGTTACTGACACTGCAGAATTAATTCCATGTATTGATTTTGCCTTTGTCTCAGTCAAACCAAATCATCTAATTGACATCTCTTCTTCAGATACGATTTTACTTTACCTTGAATTCAGGAGCAGTCATTTGAAAACATTTCAATGCATGTCCACCTTGTAGATAATTCCCCAAATCCTGTGGCACACTCACCTGGCTCAGTGCTTACATTAGACTGTGTATTGGTGCAAAATCACACCTAGGCACTAGTTGCAGAACCACAGAATAGTTTGGATTGGAAGGGACCTTTAAAGGCCATTTAATCAAACCTCCACCTCCATGCAATGAGCAGGGACACCTTAAACTGTATCGGGTTGCTCAGAGCCCTGTCCAGGCTGACCTTGAATGTTTCCAGGGATGGGGCAACCACCACCTCTCTGGTGAACCTCTGCCAATGTTTCACCTACCTAATTGTAAACAACTTCTTCCTAACATCTAATCTAAACCTGCCCTCTCTTAGAGTAAAACCATTTGCTCTTGTCCTGTCACTTCATGCCCTTGTCAAAATTCCAGCTCTCTTGTAGGCTCTTTAGGTACTGGAAGGGGCTCTGAAGTCTCCTCAGAACTTTCTCTTCTCCAGGCTGAACAAGCCCAACTCTCTCAGCCTGTCTCCATAGCAGAGGTGCTCCAACCCTCTGAGCATCTTCATGGCCTCCTCTGGACTCACTCCAGCAGGTCTCTGTCCCATGTACATAATGAATAATGAAATTATGTACATTTGCAGTGATGCAAGTGCTGTCAGTGTATTCACAGAGCACTACTTGGAGTCTTTCAGTTGAGAAGCTGTAGTTTTTCTTCCTTATAGTCCAAGGATTGCACTCAAAGCCCTTCTAAGGTGCAGTGAAAACGTGTCAGAATATGTTGCTGTTTGCAACATATACCTATTTGCTTTGTCCACGTTCTATGCAGCATTAAATTAGTTCATACAAAAATATGGTAAACTGACTCAGTGCTTACGTGTTTTCTGCTGGCCTGATTGATTGACTCAAATAGCATTAAGAAAACTTGTGCTTTGACTGAGTAATTTTGTATATATAGGAAATCCTTTATGAGAAGTTCAGGGAGTTCAGCTATAGAACATCTGCTGATTTTCAGTATGGAGAAGTTTTGGGATTCTGGTGATCCTTAATGAAGTTTGGGAGGAAGCAGTAGGTGAAGGGAAGAAATGGTTGGACAACGTTTAGACAGAAGTGTAGGGAAGCTGGAAGAATTCAGACACAGAAAAAGATATCTCATTTTTACTGTTACAGACAAAGATCTTTACAGAGGCAGCTTTTTCTTTTTTCACAAGGGCTCTGAGTGGGGATCACTTCTGTGAGGGGAAAAAACCCAGTCTTGAGCCTTCAAAATGTTACCATTTCTGGTGCCTTATGGATGCATCTTTCACTGCTATACTAATGCTGAGATTTATGTGGATACATGCATTGCATTTGAAAATACTATAAAATCTGTGAATTCTTCCTCACTGCTCTTTTCTAGAATGCCCATTTTATTAGATTTAATTGTTAGCTGCAATTGTCCCCTGTATATTTCTAACCACACTGGGAAGCTCTCATCCTGGAAAAAAACTATACTAGCTTGGATTGAGAGGGGCAAGGTAGAAGGAAAAAAAACAGTCTCTTTGTTTGCAGTTAATGGCACACTCACAAAAGCATCTTCCAGGTGGTAGAAGCTGCTGCTCTTGTATATATAGTAATACTGTATTTGCTTTTTCTAATAAGTTCTATTGCTGGCTGACACTAATCGGATGGTAAAATAAAAAACCCTTAGGTATCAAGAGGCCGTGGTAATGACAATAACAAGCTTAAGCATATAATTACAAAATAGCTGAATTCTGAATGCTGGAACTGTACTTCAGGTCGTAATAATCTAAAACTGAGTTAGGAAAGTAGAATAACCTGATTCTTTAATATCTGCAGGTTTTTCTGGGATATGCTTCTCTCCACTGCTTGTTTTAAAAACAGTAGATGAAGTGGGTGTAGAACATTGTCTGTATGTAGGAGATGTAGTCATTCCCCAAGAACCTGGATGAATTTTGCCATAGGCCATAATACTGAATGTCTTTTCTCCGAACTGTTGAAGTACAATAGTTAGGAATATCTTGAAATAAAAACTTGTACAAACAGGAGACTGATTTCTCTGAGGAATTTCATTTGAAGGCCATGGAATCCTACACTATGTTCTGTTTTCTGAAATAGTCCAGAAACTCAAGTGCGACTTCAGGTCTCTGCTTAGGTTTTATTTATCCTCTGAAAGGATTGTGGTACTACTGAGGAGGGAGTTGGTACGTCCGTTGAAAGAAGCATAAATCTAGAGTTCTGCTGCTCACTTCTGAAATTTAGGTTTATCTTGGTATATAATTAAACTGAACAGTGATTCTACAGCTAAAAATTGTCAGCCCACTCATTTAATGACAGTGCTAGACAAGCGAGATTTCTAGTAATTGAATAAGAGAGGATTCCTTTGTGTGAGAATTAGGGCTGTTGGTTTTTTTTAGATATGCTTTTGTTTTGATGATATTCTTTGTAATGATATAGGTCCCCTGGTTGTTTCATAGCTATTTTTCTCTGTCAACAGAAAATCAGGTAAAAATCAAAGAAGAAAAAGAGCAGGTGGAGGAACAGTCAGTGGACTCAGAAAGCCTTCCTCCTCCTGTGGTCAAAGAAGATGAAAATATGCTGAAAATTGAGAAGGTGGAAGAAAAAGAAATTATAAAATTGCCAGTAATAGTAAAATTAGAGAAACCTTCAGAACACAATGAAGAAAAGCAAACTGTCAAAGAAGAAAGTGACTCCTTTAAAGAAAATGTCAAGCCTGTTAAAGTAGAGGTAAAGGAAAACAAAACAGAACCCAAAGACCTAAAAGAAGTAAAAAGCTGCTCGGACAAAATAGCAGTTCATGAACCAGAGAGGCTAGAATTTTGTGTTAGTGTCAAAACTCCCCAAGAAATTGTGGAGAAATCTGTGGAAGAAAGTGAAAAACTTAAAAATGACCAGCAGGCAAAAATACCACTTAAAAAGCGAGAGATCAAGCTGACGGATGACTATGACAGTCCGATAAAGGGACCCCTGTGTAAATGTGTTACTCCAACAAAGGATGTCTTGAAGGAAGAAGGGAAACCAGAAGAAGAAGCTTTTAAGAGAGTCCCTACAATTACTGCTTTATGTCCTGATGGGAAAGTGCTAGTAAATGGAGAGGTTAGCTGTGAAAAAATAACCCCGAGCGTCATACAAAATAATAGGTCAGAACACTCTGCTGGTGCAAAGGAAGACAGCAGCTCACTGAAAGAGAAAAATGGAAAAAGTGGGGAAAACCTATCAGACTCTCTAAACTCTGTTAGTAAAATTATAAAAACGTGTGAGATTGAGAAAAATTCAGTAACTGTGCTGAAAGAGATTGGGCCTGTGGTCTCTGAGGTTTCTAATCAGAAAGTGCCTTCAAAGGAGGAATCTAGTCCTGTGGAAAAAGAGTCCCTTGACAGCACAACTACTGAAACAGTAGCAGAAGAGTCTTCGAACTCTGAAGACTGTGCCAAAACAACTGAAGAGAAACCAGCAACCAATATCAAAGAGGACAGCCCACTGCCTCCCAAAGAATGTTCAGAGAAGCTGGAGACATCCCCAAGTGCATCTGCTCCTGAAGAACTGCCCACGCTTGCACTGACTGATGAAGAGACTTTGGAAAGTAAAGGTGAGCCCGAGGAGAAAACTGATTCTCCAAAAGCTGCTGAGGTACCTCCTGCATCTACTTCTCCTGTTACTGTGGAGAAACCTGTTTTGGAAAAGGAGGACTCTGATAGTAAAACAGCTCTACCTGAGGAGAGCAAAGCAGAAGAAAAATCCAGCCCTGAAAAACAAGAGGAAGAGCCAGATGCTGCCAAAACAGAGCCAGACAGATTAGGTGATGCTCATGCATCTAATCTAGAGGACTCCTCAGAGAGCAAAAAGGAATCTCCACTACCTAAAAGCAAATTTAAATATAAGCTAGTTTCTGAAGAAGAAAGCTGTGCAACAGAGAATAAGGAAATAACTTCTGAAAGACAGAAAGAAGGAATTAAATTAACAATCAGGATCTCTAGTCGGAAGAAAAAGACAGAAACACCGCCAGAAGAGGTCAGCATTGGCCGCACATTAAGGCGCTCTCCGAGAATATCCAAGCCTACTCCAAAAGTTGCGGAGACTCGGGATCAGAAGACTGAGAAGAAGCGAACGGAAGAGGAAGAGGAGAAACCTACAGCAGCACAAAAACCAGAACGGAAAGAAGATGCAAAAAAACAAGAGAAGGAGACAAATTCTAAGGTTAACAAGGTAATAACAGTTTTATTACCTGGGAATAGAGAATACCGGCAGCCTTATCTATAAGGAGATATACACTTACATAGGAATATTGAAGAATATGTTCCTTTTGTCAGTTTTTGCAAGAAACTAGTTTTGCAATTCAGTTAGTGGACTCAACCAATTTTAGAACGTCCCCTAAGAGAGTGTTAATAAATGTTGACTTACCAGTTTGTAAAATCTGTCACTTAAACTAACCTAAGTAGACTAAATCAATTGGGGAGACTTCTAAAAACTGACATGATCAGACGTGAGTCTGTCTGGCTAAGTGGAGACCTGTAGCTCCTGTGGATTTACTAGATGGATACTTGTTGGTATCTAGTTGGTCAGGATGATCATAAGCTAAAAAGGAACCAAGAAATGGTGAAGAATAAAAATATTATGACTTCTGTTGTTAGGTGAAGCCAAAGTTATTGTTGTGGTCAGTTCATGATATAATTTAGCTTTTCTCACGTGGAATACCCATTTTAATTTGGGTGTAGGTATTTTTTTTCATGATTAACTTTTGTTTATGCAGCATAGATCTTTAAAAGTACATCAGGTAAATATGTCACAGAAAGTTAAACGTACATTTGTATAGGGTGCTTCTCAGTCTACATATTTATGAACACCTCTTACCAATTTATTTTCTGTTTTTTCTGGATATGGAGTACAAAAGAGAAACAAGGAATAATGAGTTCTTATTTTTAAAGTGCGCTCTTTTTATACCAACTTGTAAAATCTTGTCAGTTTTTCCACTGCAACACATTTTTGACTGATTTTGTAGTTTTACCAAAACATTCACTTATTTAACAAGTTTCTTTCACATACTGCTATGTTGAATAACTTTCATAAACTGAACGAACAGTGGATTTTTCAGTGAATGTTAACATCTATACTGAAAAAAAATCTGTCATAATAAATTTTCCATTTAAATATTTTAATTAAAAAATAAAATAAAAGTAACAATGATTGTAAATCCTGTAAGTGATTAGAATTTTCAGGTTAGAAATTAGGTTAAATTCAGGTTAGAATTTAATTTCTACAGGTGTTTTAACTTGATCTGTGTTTTGAAAGATCAAGAGATCAAAAGATGCTTGCTTTTCTAGAGAAGTTTTAAAATAGTTATGATAGAGGAAGAAGTTTGAAGCTGTTATGCTTCTGTTATTTGGTCAAGATAAAAATATCAAAATCTTTAATAGCATATTATATATCTTTGGGTTACTTTTCTAAAGAAGAGTCTTTAAAAAATAGATTTGAAATGATGATGATGTATGGTGAAGACAAAACCTAATCTAATATTATAATGGATTTAAAATCCTTTGCTACTGAAGCTTATGGAACGGGAAAATCCCTTAAAGAGGTGGAAATTAATGTTAAGAACCTGAAACAAAATTTTACCAGTATGACAAATACTGCTGTGGTAAAAGTTAATTCTGCAAGAGAAATAAAATATTTTTTACATTTTAGTTTATTCAACTCGTTTGAATCTATGAGTAGTTAATTCAAAATTGAAAAAATGCTTTGAGGTGAAAAAGCTGGAAAAGTTATTTTCATTTTTCAATGTCTTTGGGGACAGAAGAATTGTGAGAGAATGATGACTGTAAGAAACAAGTCAGTGAAGAGGAATAAAAGTTTCTTCTGTTTGGCTTGTTGCTTTAAATCTAAAATACCTTAGTTGCAGAAAGTCTTTTTAAATAATACAAAATAGTCTTCTGAATTTTATTTGGAAACTGTTTTTCATTCAAAATATGGTAGTAAATATGATAGAAAGGGGATAGAGGTTCCATTGATTATCAAAAAAAAAGTATCAACTGAATCACTTTTCACTTAAGAAAAATAATTGGGAACTATAAATGTGAAAGAAGACCTAGATATAAGTTATGCATTTAAAAGTTTTATTTCAGAAACAAACATGTTTTCTGAAGTAAATATTATAAAAGGCTTAAATTATATGAGGGGTCAGCGGGAGAGAAAGAAGATCCTCTTTGAGTAGAGGCAAGCTATTGCCAAAAAGTCAGAAAGTTTAAATGTGGAATTTACCATGTTCACTACCAAGTTCACCTTGTCAAAATAGATAAAAATGGGCAGAGTGAAAAAAAATTGTCTTCCTTCTTTTAAATCTCACTTGAAAGTTTCTTTCTGTACATAGATGCAATTTTTTTCTCCCTTTATCCTGTTGCATTTTAAGGATCTTGGAAAGAGAATCTGTTCATTGAAATGCTCTGCTGTAAATTTACTGCAGCTGCTCTGACTGAAATGAATCACTTTACTCTAGAGACAAATATTTTTTAAGATCTGGGAAGAAACTCTTCTGAGCTTCTTTCCTATTTTTTCTTTGAAATGGTGTCTCTTATAGAAAAGCAAAGTTCGGTGGACAGGTACACGAACACGTGGCAGGTGGAAATACTCAAGTAATGAAGAAAGCGAGGACTCAGAGAGCGAAAAAAACTCTGATGAGGAGGAAGAAGAGGAAGAAGAGGAGGAAGAAGAAGTTGCACCTGCTGATGACGATGAGCCCTGCAAGAAGTGTGGCCTTCCCAATCACCCCGAGCTGGTAAGTTTTTGGGGAAAGCTTCTGTGGGCTGTTTTGTCAGACTTGGTGGATTGGCTTTGGTGGTGTCTGAGGGCACATCAGCCTTTGGGATGGCTGTACGTAGGAGAGTAACTTTTTAGGTTTTAGCTGTAAACTCACAAAAATAGGTGAATATAGCTTTGATAAGGAGGGAAGTAAGTTATTTTTTCTGTTTACCACCACAAAAATATCTTTTATGAGGTATTAACACAATTAAGCCCATTGAGAATTAATCTGGGTGAGGCTTTGAGGTTATGCCTGCAATTGCAATAAATACAGAGGAGACAGCATTAAAAAGAACCCCAACAGTGTCATGTCTGCTTTCCAGTGTCACATGACATGGCCACAGCTATGGTCATCCTCATTGGATGTAGCTGCACATCACCGTGAGGACTGAGTACAGCAAAATCCCAGACAGAAAGAGCACAGTGAGCTTTTACTATTTCTCATGGTTATGGTTCCTGTTCATCTGTGGTACATATCATAGGTTCCTGTTTATCTGGGAAACCATCATGTGCAGTCCTGGTATGAATCCACAAAGTAAGCCTACTCTAGGATGTGTGACAGATACCCTGGCACAGCTGAGGCAAAGTTTGACCTTTAGAATGTTAGAGATAAATATTTCAGTAAATACACACACAGGTTATGCGAGCTTTGTTCCTCAGTTTTATGGAAAGGGATATCTCGAATTTTACCCAACTAAGTATGAACTCTAATAGTTGCCTAGTTCTGGATGCCCCTAAGAGCTTGTAAGGCTCTGTCCCTACTCTCCAGTTCATAAAATCATCCTGACTGAGGAAAAAAGCCAGGTCTCCTGCACAAGGATATGAGTGCACAAGGAAAACAGTTCATACCCCATCTTGTTCAGATGGAGTTTTCCACTTAGTCTAGGATCTGGAAAGTGTTACCAGGTTCTACACTAAGGGCACACAGTCTATGTAGCCCAGTAGTACTAAGTACTGAGAAGGCATAGTAAGAGGAAATCTGGTGTTAAAATGGAAAATCATGATACATGAACTTCCCCATAAAATTCACTCTTGGTCCTGGAAACACGGTACGGGGTGGTTTTTTGTTTGTTTGTTTTGGCACAGTCCAAAGTACGAAGCACTTCTTTGTTGGCTGGGGAAACAGTTCTGGAGCTTGTTACTTGTTGTGAATGCCGAAAGATACTCATGATGTATTTCCACAGATTTTGTTGTGTGACTCTTGTGACAGTGGATACCACACAGCCTGCCTTCGCCCTCCGTTGATGATAATCCCTGATGGAGAGTGGTTCTGCCCCCCTTGCCAGCATGTAAGGTTCCTGTGTGACTTCACTCTTCTCCTTTACAGCTTTGCTTGTGGTTGTGGAGACTTGCTTGGACTCTTAACAAGTTCTTTCTATGATCTTTTTTTTCTGTTCTATCCCAGATAGACTGGGATCAGTGGTAGGACTGCTGATGTTCCCTCCTGTCCATTAGTAAAACTGAGTTTTGTGACCTGGTTTTCTTTTCTCTTTTCTGCTAGTGTGTGTTGCTGGCTTGTAGATTGGAATCTTCAGCCACACCGATTATCTCCCATCTCTGGTTAAACCACCTCAAGACTAGTATAGTATTAAAGAAGAATGCCTTAATTTTTCCCAAAATAAACATCTTCATCCTGGAGGCAGAAGCAGTAGACAGTGAGGGATGGATCAGTAGCCAGAGCAAGCAGCTGTTTCTGAAGTACTATTTGTTTTTCAGAGACATTTGCTCAGCAAGCTGGTTACAGAAAGCTGCTATTTCAAATGAGTCTCAATATAGTTCACTTCTGCTGGGAAAGCCAGGGTTGTTCTTGTCAGGTAATAGATAAGTATGAACACTTGTCAAGGTTGGAAGCTGCTTCTGCCAAAAAAAATATCTGGGCATGTGTCCAGTTTGGTTTAATGTACATCCAAAGTAGCAAGATTTGCAGGGAGGGTACATGGGAGGATAAGCAGAGTGTGTGTGACACTGTTCTTGTTAAATTAATGGGAAACCACTCATGCACATCTTCAGAATAATCTGCCTGATCCCAACCCCTTTCCTTGCTTTTAGAGAAATTCTTTGCCAAAAGAGCTGTTACCCTACAATAAGCTAGTGACATTGGGCATGACATGATGTGACTCTGTCATTGATTTTTAGTTATGTCTTCTGAGGAGTATTTTTAAGTACTGATGATCTTGAATATGTAAGAATTCTTTCTCTACAGTTGTAGTTAGAGCATCAACTCCTTGCTCTGTTGATGTTAGGTACTCTTTAATATGAAAAATGACAGATTTGTAAAAGGGTGAAGATCTTCCCTGGAAATAGTATAATGAGGGCATTAACATGGAATAAGGTGCAGTTTATCCATTAAAAGTAGGTTTTTATATGCCTTCTTGAGTATTAAGTATTGTTCTAAAATATGGAACATTTGATAAGAAAATGATTCTGAAGTGTCGCTCTGCTTTATGCTGCACTGTCCACAAAGTCATGTGTTCTCCAAAGATTAAGATAAGGGACAAACAGAATTCACTCTGTGTATGCACTCAGCTTTGTGTGTGCATATGACGTATGTCTGTGCAATCCTCAAATTTCTTTGAGACCAAGTTGTAAATACCAACAAAAACGTGCTACTTTTACATCATTTATATCACTTAATGCACACTGCTTCCTACATTGAATACTAGTTACTGGGAGGATACATCTCTATTCCAGTTCATAGAAACATGGAATGATTTGGTTTGGAAAGGACCTTAAAGATTATCTACTTCCAACCCCACTGCCATGGATAGGTACACCTTCCATTAGACCCGATTGCTCCAAGCCCCATCCAGCCTGGCCTTGATGGTGAAGCACATGTGTTTTAGGAAGACACTCTTTATTGTAAAGCCTTGTTCACTGAAGAGGAGCCTCCAGTGTAGCAAGGCACTCACACTTCTTTCCAGGCAAATGCAGACATAGCAAATGAAGTGTCTGAACATTATTTCAATGTCAAAATAGTTGCTTATGAAAGAAACTAACACTGTGTTTCCTTCCTTTAGAAATTACTCTGTGAGAAATTAGAAGAACAATTACAAGATCTGGATGTTGTCTTAAAAAAGAAGGAACGTGCAGAACGCAGGTACTATTGTTTGGTACTGACTTTTCTCCAAAAGTCATCCACATCAGTGTGGGGTTCAAGTCTTGTTGCTTTAGATTCTGTTAAACTTTGCCAAATTTACAAGATTATACAATTGGTGTAGTGCAGTGAGCCAGTGAAGTTACAGCTTTGAATGAAATTTTGTGTCCACCCCTGCCAATACCAAAGGCTAAATGCAGACGGATTTACTGCATTTAGGAACAACAGCCTTAATATTTTGAACATCCTATATGCAGTTTTCAGACCTGAAAAGGAGGAACATAAAACACAGTCTGCATTATTTATACCTTTTAGGACATATATTGAGTATTTTGCAGAATTTAATAACATCTGTATGCATTATTAAACAAAATTTTGCATGAATTTTATCTTAAAAGGCAAATTTCAGCAGAAGGTGACACCCTTTTATAGAAAGTAATATGACATGGGATGTAGTGAGTCAGTGCTGGGAAGAGCAAAGCACAATCTGTGTCTACTTTCAAGCTTCCTTCAAATCTGTTTGTTATTGCTGTTGCAGCAGCAACAACGATAGTGACAGATCAGGTACCAACTGTTTCTAATGTCGCTACTTCTGCTCAGCGTGTATCTGGATCATACTGTGGTAAAATTATCCATGGCTTGCCAATTCTGCTGAATTTGTAGCTTTGGGAGTGAAACTATTAGCTATTTTTATGAGTGAGCTCAGCTTACACACAGGCTCCATCTGTGCAGTAGTACAGGACACACAGGAACTGTGTCTGCTGCTTTGCTTTATGGTGGGAATGCTCATAACTAGTGAACAATATTTTTGGTCCTACTTTGGTAAACATTCTGCTGGCAAAAATTACATTAAATGCAAGCTTTTTCCAGTTTGTCCTGCTTTCTGGAAATCACCAGTGTTGCATAAAAACACAGTGATCTAACAGTAACAAGAGAGCATACAGTTGGTATCATAGCAGTTTTCAGTGTCTGAAACAGATGTCTAACAACCATTTTGCAATTTGATCCTCATACCAAATGATGTGTTATGTTGTATATCATAAAACTGAGGTTTTATTTTTTAATGATTTTTGTAAAGTTTCTTAAAAAGAGAAATGAGCATGGGTTATACTGGACACTTCAATACAATAGTTGAATATTGAAACCTTCCAACTTCTTGATGATGTATTTTAGCAAATAATAAGGTGAAAAGGCTGAAGAATCATAATGTTAGAGGAAATTACAGTCTTTATAACAGCTCAATGTACAAGTTAAAACAGGTTGGTTGTTTGGAGCACAAAAATACTTGAATGTGGTGTTTCTGAAAACTCACAATATGTGGTGTCTTTTCGGCAAAGAGAAGAAATCCAACTCTGTCATTATGGATCTGTCTACTTAATAGATTCTTTGAACCAGTTAGTTGTTCCTGCTCAGATCTAAGATCTGGCACTTACCGTTTTTGGATCATATCCTGTCTTTACATGATTTTCCAGGTGTGATTTGAATTCCTGTTTTATCAGTCAGCACCTCCAAGATTGGTGGTACTTATGGATCTGACAACATAATCTTTGTAATGTTAATATTTTTCACTTGGGTTTTACTTGCTTTTTACACCCCAAATTCAATCATTTCTGTGGTGCCCACAATCTTCAGTACTGTTGATTGTCAGAACTCTTTGGAAATCTCTTACATTATATATGCAGGAAAATGCAATCATATGAGAATTAGGACATAATCCCAACTAAAACAACTCTTTTCACTTGGAACATCCTCTTGGGATGTTTCTCCCTAGTGATAGTAAGAGCTTCAAACAGTGCTAACTACAGCATTATTTTAGATATGTGCAGTCTTTCTGTAAGCTTATTTTCACTTCTTTTCTCTCCTAAAGAAAAGAGCGATTGGTGTATGTGGGTATCAGTATCGAGAACATCATTCCACCTCAGGTAAGTTACTGCCTCTGTGTTGTATCATGGTTTTATTTTCCAAACTGCTCAGGGAAGAAGTTTCTCAGTGGTGTGTCAGAAGAGCTGGTAGCATCTTTGAAAGAAAAATCAATCTCTATGCAGGTTAGAAATAATTCTAGACCCTTTTAGACTGAATATAGCAGAGAAACCATGGGAGCTTTATGGTGTTTATTAGAGCCAACTGATGCCACACAGAGTCCTCTGTCAGTGAGCAATCTCAGAATCGCCTCCCTGCCCATTACAACTGGGGTTTGAGTTGAGTGCTCCAATATTCAGTACTTTATAAAGGTGGGATTCAGTTATTTAACTGTGGTGTCTGCTATATAGTTATCTAGCTTTGAGCTAATGGTCATAGCTTTCCTTTGGAATGGATGGAAACAAACACTTCTGGCTTATAATTCAGGGGGAGTATATAGTATCTCTTAGCAGCAGGGCATTTGCCTTCAGCAAATGGATTTTAAAGTCACATATGATTATAAGCTATAAACATTTAGTGTTTCATTAACAGATGCTTTTATATGGTTTCTCTTGACAGAAGAGGAAAAATGCTTTTATTCACATTGAGAACAGGCTTAAATACTTCTTAAATACATTTTGAAGCAATTCTCTTGAAGTCTTAGCCAAATGCCTTCATCCAGAATGATATAATCTGCTCTGTGCAGTTTAAAATGAAACTTTAGTTTGTTTTAAACATAGACTTTCCACTCTGCCTGACTGTAACAAGGCCAGCTTTCTCTCCCTGTCTCTGGATAACAGAAAAATGATAACAGATTTTTACAAACTTGCAAAAGAGTCTATGGTTGGGAGAAAATATTTGAAAAATAAAGACTGGGGGTGGATTATTTTTCTTTTAAATTAATAATTTGGAAACAGTATAATAAAACTAACCTGCATGGAACCTTATTGAAACTGTACCACGTAGAGGTGTCCCTATGCTCAGTACATAGAAATGCTGGGCCACAGTTTGCTCATCTGACACATTGACTAGTCCTGGGAGTGTCACCCAAGGCACAGTCTCAGCATTGCGGTGTGAGCACAGTGATACAGTAGGCTGAACCTTTAAACTCTGTGTTTGGGAAGTTATGTACCCAGTAAGGGTGAGATGTGCAAGTGTTCACTTGGACTGCTTTAACAAGTTATTATAGTAGAAACCAAAATGTGCTGTGTTGGGCATATGAGCTTTCTAGATGGTATGAATATCTGAATCACATGAGTTCAGTCATAATGAGTGCAAAGGGAGAGGGGAGATACTTCTTTTTGACACTTCTGTCTTACCTGAACAGGAGCCAGAAATACCTGAAGGTCAGGAAGAAAAGAAGAAAGATTCCAAAAAACCCAAATCAAAACTGCTTGAAAGGAGATCTACCAGAACTCGAAAGTGCATAAGCTACAGGTCAGCAGCTTGTTTAAATGGCTCGTACAGCAAAAGTCATAGAGGTGCTTTCTTTCTGAGTCATCCCACCACTTCTCACACACACTTTTACATGTAAAAGAAAAGTCCAACTAAAGTGTCTTTGTTCTTTCCTCTGAATACTAGTTATGCTTGGTGGTTGTGACAGCATGAGGTGGTATAGTGAAGGGATGATGCATGAAAAAAATAAAAATGTGTATGGTACTTTGTTCAGGAGTACTGGAGAAGGTCTTGGCGTTACTGCAGTTTCTGGAGTGAAGTAAAGCAGGTGAATCAAACCTCTTCTTTCTCTTGCAGAGGAGATTTATGCTTGTGTCTAAAGGCCTTCAATTCCTTGCTCTCTTACCCCTCCCCACCTTACACATTCTTTACATGAAAGGGGCATGAACCTTAAAATGTAATTATGAGACAGTGTATCTAAAAATGGTCTGTAACTCTTCAGGGAAATTGTGATAAAAATGCAATTAGTAAATGAAAATACCAAGATATTTAAACTCTGTGCATTTTGAAAGTAGAACAGGTTACCTAAAGTTTCCAAAATTCAGCATGATCTTATTGTCTTTTGTTCTCAACATATTACCAATATTATTTTTATATTTCTAAATAATACTTTGAAACACTCTGTATCTTCTTCAGCCCACCAGGCAAGTGAGATGCCCTTTGGATTAGAAAAGAACTGGTTGCCTGAGAGCTTTTGGTTTTTTGTCCCAGATGCATTAGGAAGATTTAAAAAATACTTTCCAGTACTTACTCAGTGTAGACCTTTATCATCAAAAATGAAAACATTACAATATTGGAACAATAAGCCTTCCAACAATAACCATCGTTGAACTTACTCTGGTTTTGCTGCTGAGGAGAGCCATTCCAGCCTGGCCAGAAAACTTGACCTGACCTTGCTTAGCTGTTGATTTTTGGTAACTTTTTAAATGAACAGCAGAAGTCACACTAATGAAAATGCCATTGCTGCTATGAGAAATTAAGTATTCCTGTAAGGAACATTATGCTACAGGCAGGATTATATAGATTTGCTGTTATAATAATGACAGGTCATGCAGCATCTGACCAGGAGAAAAAACCCCATACCTATAGGGTACGTGGCACTACTGCAGCAGGACCCACGTTGTGCAAAGACAATAATTTTTATTGGAAGTAATGTTTTTCTGGGAAAATCAATCTACTGATACAAAACAATAAGAGTTTTTCTTACAGACTACATCTTACACATAACTTGGAGCAGGTGAAAATATTGCATGTGTCAGTGTGTCAAATTTATATGTCCTCAGTGCAGTCCCACTGGCATCACTGAGAGTTGTGTGTGCTTTCCCTCAGCAGGGGAAAATAAATGCTAAATGCCTTATTCCACTTACAAACAAATCCATATTGTGGAGCATCCTGGTTCTCTAAAGATCTGTAATCCCTTGGTATCACCCAAGTCATCTCTTGAGTCCTCCTGTGAGCAAGTTAGCAAAACCTGCACCACGAATAAAGCAGCAGCAGAAGAAATTATGTTCCATTACACTAAATGGACAAGCAGCTGTCAGCTCGTGGCTGAGCTCAGGTTATTTGTTAGCAGTGATGTGACAGTGTTAAGTGATTTCTCACATTTTAAAGAGGTGGGATTTTACGGGTTTTTTATGTAGCTTTGTGGAGGGAAAATAGGGTTTGAGTAGTGTGGAACTAATCTCATTGATGGAATAATTTCAGAGTTATTTCCTTGCTGGGTAAAGCTGCTTTGAATGTGACATGCAGTTGTTCTGAGGGAATATAAAGATATCAGAAGTCCATCACCTCATTTTTAAAGGAGGAAGTGTTTTATGCTTACTATTGGAATACAGAGTATGAGATTATTCTTTCCTTGTTCTGCTGGAGGTTCCTATGGAGGATCAAGATAAATACCACTGTAATCTTTCTAGCATGACTGAGAAATGGAATCTTAATGAATGTATTGTCCAATTGTTAGTGGTTTGTACCAAAAAAAAGCAAAAAAATTTTACTTTTTAAAAAATGAGAAGAAAAACTTGCATCTAAATTATTTTCCTATATGATAATCCTGATTATTTCCTATATAGTTAATAAATTTTGTACTTTTGCATGATGGTGCTCAAGGCACCTATTTGGTGGAACAGGTAACAATCTCTTTTTATGGAATTTGAATTCATAACTGAAGACACAAGCTGAGGTTGTCTGTTTGAAAGAATTGCATCCTTTTTCCTCCATTTGCTGTTCCTTTTAAATGAGTTAACTCAGGGTGCAGAGATTTATGCAGTTTTATAAAAGCTGCTGGAGGACAAACTCAAATATTGTGCTTTTGTTTGTCCTTTTTAGTTATGTAACATTGCATTACAGGTTATTTGTACAGAATTACAAGGAACTGAGTACAATATGTTTTGTTTTATCTGTTCAGCTTAGGATGTTGCAGATCCACAAAGTATGAGTACTGTGAGCTGTAAGAGGAGAAAGCAGCTATGTGAAATGAGTTTTGAAGGAAAATGTAGACAGAATGAATAGTTTTACCTTGACCTTAATAGGTGCTTCTCAGAAAGTCTGTTTTGAAGATTGGTAGAACATAGGTCATCTGATAAAACGTGTGGAAAAAATTACTAGTGCTTTGCCTGAAAAATGCCACTGAAACTGTGTTAAAGAAGAGCTTTCAGATCATATATTGTTTAATTCAGGAATATGTCGTGTAAATGAAAGGAGATTTCTGTTCACCTAAATCAACAGTAATATAGCCTGGCAATGGTAAATAATCTGCTAGCAAATAGAAACAAGAAACACACCTTTTAAAAAACACTATTTTATTAATAATCTGGCCCATTATCTTAGTTATTTTATTATATATCCAGACCACTGTCTGTGCAGTGTGATTTCTTAAAGCAGTGTTATTTCTTTAGATTGTGAGATATGTTTTCGTAATATATATAATTAGAGTTCACTTCAAAGTGGTAAATGAAAGCTGTTATTTTTAGGTTTGATGAATTTGATGAGGCAATTGATGAGGCAATTGAAGATGATATCAAGGAAGCTGATGGAGGAGGTATGTTTCTGATATTACTTGTTTCACATTGCAGTGGTGATAAGAAAACTGAGACTGAATTGATTTTGATATGAGAAGCAACAAATATAATCCTTCCCCTTAAACTTTGTAGTTTATAGAGATTTTTTTGCTGCTGTATTTTTGGAAGTGAACTAAATAATTTCCATGGAATGACCATCCCAGGATGCCAAAAGTTGTCAGAAAGTATTTAGCCTTGATAGTTAAATTCAGCTTGTACGTGTTTTGATATATGCAATGATGAATAAACATGACAAGAAAACTCTAAAAATTATTTTGCTAGGGTTTGGATTTGAGATTGGAATGGCAGCAGTGCTATTGACATTCATCCCCTGTAAAAATAGGTCTTATAAATTGACTTATAAATGTGCAGTTGGACCCCATAAAGATGGGGTGTACAAAGTTGTCTTAACAATATTCATCCATCTCTGTAAGCACTTCTCAGTTGGGCATTAATAAAATGAAATTCTATTCTTTGTTGCCTGTTAGGGCAACACAAGGGACCAAAAGAGAGATCTTCAGCACTATCTGAGAGGTTGGAGGTGGGTTTGTGCTTCTGCATCACCTTAACTTGCCTGGAGAAAGCAGCCATGAAACATTGTCCCTCAGTTGTTTGGCCTGTGGTGTCTCCCTACAGACACCAGGTTTCAGCAGCTCATGGATGTACACAGACAATCTGAAAATCAGGTCTCTGTGGGTGTGTAACACAAGGCCCATACGATAAATGTAACCAAGTCTCAACCCTCTGCATGGATCTCAGTATTTCCAAGCAGCCACAGCTGGGCTTTGTGTGTCAGCAACAAGACTCTGGACAGAACCTTGCTTGACAAAAAAAATACTCTGCTTATCTTCTGTAAAAGCTGAAGCATGTAAGAAAGATCTTTAGAAAGTTAAACAAGAAAGTAAACCTGCTCTTTTTTACCCTTTTGTGTCACTGAATTCAGGCATTGGCAGGGGCAAAGACATGTCAAATATCACAGGTCACCGTGGAAAAGACATTTCCACAATCCTAGAGGAAGAAAGGAAGGAAAGCAAGCGACCACAAAGGGCTGCTGCAGCACGACGCAAGAAACGACGGCGACTAAATGACTTGGATAGTGACAGTAATCTGGATGAGGAAGAGAGTGAGGATGAATTCAAGATCAGTGATGGGTAAGTCTGCAATTTAACTTCCACAAGTCACTGACCACTGCAGGCTTCTGTGACTCTCTAGTGCCCCTGAAATGATCATCAGGAGGATGTTCCCAGTGCCAGCAGAAGTCACAGAATGATAGAACAGTTTGGGTTAGAAGGGACCTTAAAGATCACCTAGTTCCAAACCCCCTGCCTTGGGGTCCTTCTGGCCTAGGGGAACATCATTGTACTGGAAAAACTGCACTCTGGATCCATGTGCTGAAATCATCCAATCTGTATTTTAAGCAAAACATGATCTGGAAATGGTACTGGGATGTTTGAGGCCTCACTAAAGTGTTCTATTAGTGAAGAAGCCAGGTGGGCTCAGTTCTCTGGCTGATGTGACCGTCGAGCAGAAATCCTTAATTGAAAATTCCTATTTTTAGAAATTGGAAGAGGACAGTGTTCTTATTTAGAGCACACAGAACTTGACAGGTTCTGAAATCAGTTTTTGATTGCTGCTCCCTGGGAGACAGCCAAAGAAGTGGTTTATACTGTAGAAAACAAATAGGTATCACGTGAAGCTTTAAATGCTAAATGAATATTGCTCTGGCTAACTGAAACTCATTTTGCACAAAATTGCTCCTTGTTCAGTCTGTGCAATTCCTGATGCTGAAAAATGTGATAATTTTAGATGAACTTTATGCTCAATGAAGAAACGTGACAAAGCATGAGGCTGTAGGGTCTTTACCAGCAACATTTAAAGCTTTACACCAGTCACTGAGTCCATTTACTAAGTGCGTGGAAAATCTATACAAGACAGATTGTACAAGACAAATTTTGAGCTTTGTTTTTCACCTGTGACCATGTGAGGACATTTCAGTGGCACCCTGAATAATTGAACTACATGTGCTGGAAATTTCCAATCAATGAGTATAGCACGTGGAAATCTGGCAGAGTTAATGGTGCATTGATCTATTAAAGTGTTGTCAGGCATTTTCAGCTCCATCCTCTGCTGAGGGCCTTCTGGATGTTATACTGGAATTTAACACAAATACAAGTGGCTGGCACCTTCAGTGCTTAATGGTTTTTTTAAAATCCTTGGCTCACTTCTGAAGTCATGGGAGTGTTATGAGCTGTTAAGGTTGTGAGGTGCCTAAGAGCAATAGTTTTGTGTTAAGACACAATGTTCTGATTCTCAGAAATTGCGTAGTTTGGTTGGTTTGTGAAGGGAAGGTCCCCTCTGCTAGAATATGGTGGGTGTTTTTCCCCCCCCCAGTTACTGCTGTGCAAACATTACATTGCAGTGAACTGCGTGAACACTCTAGAGTCTGTCCTATGTTAGTGTCACTTGTGGTGCTGCTTTGGCAGAGTTTTTATATCCACCTGCTGTTGTAATCTGCAGTGTAATGCCATATACTGTGAAGCTGTATCCCAAATATACAGCTGGAAACTCACATCAGTGATGGCAGCCTGCTCACTCTGGGTCTTTGCTCCTCATGATAAAATTTGTGCTTTTTTTTTTTTTTTTGTCTGTAAGAGAATACTTACCACTGACTTGTAAAATACAGGCACTATTCAGTCTTTTGTTTTCAGTACCTATCTCTGTTGTCTGTTCTGTCTGATCTGTTTTTCTTCAAACAGATCTCAGGATGAGTTTGTCATATCAGAGGAAAATCTGGATGAAAGCGAAGATGACCCACCATCAAACGAAGACAGTGATTCGGAGTTCTGCGCCCGCATATCCAGGCGACACCTGTCCAGGCCCATGAGGCAAAGCAGGCGGTTACGAAGGAAAACAGCCAAGAAAAAATACTCTGAAGATGATGAAGACGAAGATTCTGAGGAAAATTCAAGCAGAGAGTCTGGTGAGTATAAGCAGTCTCAGATATATTAAATACTCTATACTGGAGAGAGGAAGAATGGAAATCTCAGTTTCCTGTTGCAACTGACACCAACTTATTTACTTGCTTTGGTCAAGTCACATGTGTCAGATCTTTGCTGTAAAGTGCTTTGCTAATAGTTCTGCTGTCAATATTCTGCAGGGAACTGGTATTGAGCACTAGGTTCTTGGCATTTTTAGGTAATTACATGTTTAAATGAATGCTTATGCTATGATTCTAAAGGCAACCTTTGTGGATAGTTGCAGCTACGCCGTACCTTCCTGTTTAGCACATGATTGTAGGGAAAGAATGGAGGGAAAAGTGTATTTCTTTAGAGCAACTAGAAGACCCTCTGAACACTGTTGAAACAGCTTCTGAAAGGAACATTTTCCTTCACTTTGTGTGGAAGAAAACTTTCAGTTTTATGGCATTCTGTGTTTTCTGGTTGACTTGAAGGCAAACAATAGCACCTTGACTCTCTCTCTCCTACAATTATCCTTAAAATCTTTAGTACCTGAGGACTCTTGCATCACAGAAGAACCTAATAATTCACTTTGTTCTACTTGTCCTTCAACCAGTTCATTTTCTGTTGCCGTTGTTTGAAGTGTGAGAATAGTACCTTAAACCTCTTCATGATCAGCAACTTTCTCCCAAGACTGTTTCTGCTTCATTTGACTCACAGACACTCACAGTGCCATGTACAGAAGCACTTGTTTTTACTTTTTTTTATTGTAAATTTAAGATACTAACTATACTGGAGTGTTAACTTATTGTAGTGTGTGTTATCTTTCTGTGTTTTATCTGTCTTTCTACAATATAGATGATGACCATGTAAGTTGCTTTGGAATACTGGTTTCCAAAAGGAGGGTTTGTGCACAGAGAGATGAAGGCAGCTACGTGCACTTGCAGTGGTTGCTGTCTCCCTGTGCTGATTTATGTAATAATTCATGGCACTAATCATAAGCTCTTACTTAAAGATACTGGCAAAAGTATAAAGAGGTTGTTCATATATTCTGTAATGTACAGGAGCAACTTTGTTTCCTGGTGGACACACAGGGATAAAATCAATTGATTCCAGTATCATTCCATCCATATCTAAAAGTATAGCATTAACCATGTGTTACCACTCTCTTTTACCATCATTACTGTCCCTCAAGATCCTGCTTTAAGCTACTTTTGAGCTAAGGAAATCAGGTGCCCTGTTAGCAAGCTCTGGTTTCAGTCTCTAGAGATGGAATTTCTGTCTGAAAGTGGTGGTTCTTGCTGACTTGCTCTGATTCTTTCTCTAATATTTTAGGAAGTAAAGAGGATGCCAGTTTGATCTGTGACTCGTGTCAATCACTAAGTTAGGAACAGAGTATGAGACTTTTATAGAAATGTATCTTGGGATAATTGTTCTGGCATAGCTCAGTGGAAAAGCAGCTAAAGTTGATTCGAGGCTATTTTCATCTGATGTAAATAAATTTAGTTTTTGAAGACAGTAGCTGCAGTAGACTGGTGGAGGAAGAACTGTGGCTGATGGTAAGTTTCTTCTGTTGATGGTTTCTGTTTTGAACAAACCTGTGATTGAGAGAAACTGATTTTTGTTGTTAATTTAAATTCTATAACTCAGATCTTGGTGTTTCATCTTGTCAGTGGTTTTTCATCTGCCTGTTCTTAAAAGTCTTACAGTAGAGTACAATTTATTTAAAGAATAGACTTCCCAGTGTTACTGGTAACGTGCACCATCAGTGGTAATGTGCACCAGCAACTCTTAATTCAGTTGGGTTGTTTTCACTGTCAGGAACTGTAGAGACATCTTTGGCACCAGTAGAGATGAGGCAACAAAAACACTGGAAGGAAACTTTCTGGAGGAGTTTGAGGGAGGCAGGAAAAGGGTTTGTGAGAAGCTTTTAAAATCAAGCAATTCTACACTGGTAATAAATGGGAGAGCTGGAATGGGCCAGACTAATGAGACACAATGGCTGAGACTGTCCTGGAAGAGCACATGGTTTTATTGGTGTTGGTCTAAAGGTTACCTAATTTTTTTAATGTAAAGCAGTTTTCTTTGATGGAATAATACACATCACTGTTTTGTTCTATACAGAGAGTGGTGAGTACACAGATTACAGTGATGATGATTACCTGGAAACTAGAAGGAGAAGATCAAGACGGAATCAGAAGAGACAAGTTAATTATAAGGAAGATTCAGAAAGTGATGGCTCACAGAAAAGTGTCCGATACGGGAAGGAGTTAAGAAGAGTTCACAAGCGCAGGCTCTCCACTTCAGATAGTGAAGGTAAAATAAACAGTGCAGTGTTTGCAGGAGCTCGTATATGTCAGCATTAGCATGAAGGGAAAACTGTATATAACTCGAAGATTTCAGAGAATCGTCTTTCAGTTCCTTGATGTTTCTCAGAATCTGTTTCTTTCTGAAACAGCCCACTGGTACTTCATGATGCACTGTTAACTGAGTCACTTCTCAAAAGTGTTTCATTGTCCCTAATCCTGAATTCCAGGTCGGCATTTACTGTGTCTGGCACAGAGTGATGGGATTCCGAAACTGGCTCTAATGTAACTGCCTCACCACTTCTCTGTTAAGAGGTCACAAAGCTCCATCCCACGAACCTTTAAAGATTCTCTTTTATAAAATAAAGGGTAGTGCTTCTGGTGCCCTGACTGTGTTTGTGCTGGTGGTTTAGACTTATACCATCTCCTGTTTAAGGATCTGTCCTGAGTGTGGCAGAAGCCCCTCTCAGTAATGTCAATCACACCATGAGTGACTGGTTTTTGATTTATAATTAATTAGCTTTTACAAAAGCAGCCACTGACTTTGAGTGCCTTGGGTTCTGGGCACACACCTCATGAGACCTTAAGGTCCAGCTTTCCGAGTGCTGAGCAGTGTGGGTTGCAAGGGATGCCAGGCTTCCTCAGGAAACAAACCACGCTCAACAGGCCAAGCACCTCAGTTTTGGAAGGGCTGCATCCTCTTAGATGAGGTGATCAAGTATGTGATGCAAGTGTGTGTAGTTCCTCAAAAACATGATCATACACTTCAATTCAACCTGTTCCCAAGAATCCACTATATGGTGGCTTTTTGCTGCCTGCACTTGTGATTTTGAACAGTGCCTGATTGACAGCGTCTTCTCTTCATGAAATCCCCTTTCCTCAGGTATTTTTGGTGCTGGCTTTCTGCGTATTAAAATCAGCACCATTAAGTACCATTCCTGCACTCTCCCACAGTTCCTGCATTATACTGTAAAATACTTAAAAACATTACTAGAATTGTGATTACATTGAATATAGAGGAGTGCTGGCAGTCTCTTACCAACCTACATTAAACAGTACCCTTTTAAATGAAAATTCACATGGATTTCTAATGGAAATCACAAGGAGACAACAAATTAAGTTTGCCATTTGATTTTTCAACCTCCTCCTTTTCTCATCAAAACCCTCAAAGATCAGTGCAAAGGCTGTCCAGTATGTAGGCAATATTCCAGTTTTCTAGAAGAAAAAAAGCCTCCCTTTAAAGGGCAGCAAAATTCAGGTGACAGACAGCATTCATATACTTGGGAAGAATTTGTATATAATTTGGGGGTGGCAGGGGTATAGTAACAGTTATATTTGTGTGTGTGTGTGTGTGTGTGTGTGTGCGTGTGTGTGTGTGTATGAAGTTCATGATAGAGCAGCCACTATTTGAGTTCTCAGTTTCTGGCAGGCTGTAAATAAAGCAAATGCTGTGAGATGAGGGATGCACTTCTGCGTTATTCCCAGCATGGAGTTAGCAGTTCTAGAGGGGAACACACCTACCTCCAAAGCCTCCTGTACTGCTGAGATTGAAAACAGAATATCAACAAATTGTTGGTATTTTCTGCTCCAGGAGTTTATTTAAGAAGTAAAAAGGATGCAAGTGTTTTGACTTGGTTGGGGAACATGGAGGAGATGGAAGTGTGTGTGGTGAGGGAGAGAGATGGCTCGATAGTGAGTGTGAAAGATGAAGAATAAAGTGTAAAGGTTGCACTAAGATTTGCTAATGGCTCTAAGTCTGCTGCTTATTCCAGAGAGCTACACATCTAAGAACTCTGAAGATGATGAATCCACAAAGGAGTCGAAGCGACTGATTCGAAAGCGTCGGCGGAGCACAGACGACTATTCCGAGGAAGAAGGAGAGGACGAGGAGGAGGAAGGGAAGCCTGTCCGCAAACGGCTGAATCGAATCGAGACAGATGAGGAAGATAACTGCGAAAATGCCAACGAGGACACAGAAACCCCTGCTCCTGCAAACAAGCTGCCAGCAGCACAAGCTCCTCAAGACAACCCCAAGAAGCACTGCTACCGGATAGAAAGCGACGATGAAGATGACTTTGATAACGTAGGGAAAGTAGAGAGCCCTTTGGACTACAGCCTGGTGGACTTGCCTTCCACCAACGGACAGAGCCCAGGGAAAACCATTGAGAACTTGATTGGCAAGCCAAGCGAGAAGACCCAGGCCCCCAAGGACAGCACAGCCAGTGCCAGCCTGGCGCCCAACGGGACAGGGAGTGGGCAGGAGGCAGTAGGGCCAGAGGAGGAAGAAGATGAACTTTTGAGAGTGACTGACCTTGTTGATTACGTCTGTAACAGTGAACAGTTATAAGACTTCCATTTTTGTGCTAATTTATTCCACGGTAGCTCATACCAGCGGGCCAGTTATTAAAAGCTGTTTTATTTTTCCTAGAAAATTCTCCACTACAGTATCACTTTCTAGAAGCAAGAATTTCACCAGTCCTGCAGTCTTTCTGTGAAGTGACCAGTTTTGAACTTTGAAGATTAATTGCTGTAAATTCCCTCTCATACCCCCCCTTCTCCTTCCAAGTCCATGGTCCTGGGTAATTTCACTCACAAAAACCTTATAACAACAAGAGATTTGTATATTTTTGACTTTATATTTCCTGAGTGCATACAAATTTGTGGAAATGGGTGGCCTAAGAAAGCATTCCAAATCAGTCAGGGCCCAAACCAGAACAGGGGTGGGTTTGGCTCAAGGGGTGGGAGGATGGGAGGGGGGTGGTGCAGAAGCACTTGTGCTTTAGCTTTTTCATATGAGATATATATTATATTTAAATGTTCACAACTTAGATTACAACTTAACAGACAGTTAAAAGCAAAATTAATGTCTGTACTGTCGCATTTTGTGAGTTGTAGGTTAACATACCATAGCTCATTTTAGTAATCACCTTCATGGAAGCAGTTTGATTTTAATACTGGAGGCAAACAGAATTATTAGAGGCCAAGAAGGTACCATAAACAAGAACTCTGCTATCCATTATGACTTGCAGACTTTCCTAATAAACATCCTTTAAAGTGTTTGTACAGTGAAGTGTACTGTAATGAAGTTTTTGACAGTCAAAACACACTAGCCATGAATCTCTAAAGCGATTTCATGCTCAGTTCATCAGATAGTCTTCGATGCACAGTGTCTAGTGGGAGGACGTATCGATGTCAAGTTAGTCTGTAAGTTGGATGTCAAGTAAGTCTGTAAGTGCTGCAAACCTTTTACAGACAAAAGAACCCTGCAGTAGCTGCCCGGCCGCGCGAGTTTCACCATCCGTCGGAGTGTTCTGAACAAAATGTGTTTGTGCAAACGGCATTGACCACAGAGTGACAGTGCATCAGAGGATGGAGGGATTTTCAAATAAACCGTGACTGGTCCATTCATGCCCTTAATATCTACTTCAAATTGAAGTAATCAAATGGAACAGTTTTCCTTTTGGAGGTTTCCTGTCTGGGGTTTTATGTGTGTTTTTGTTTTGATTTTACTTATCTGCCTGGATGTATTAGCAGGTTTTTGAATGTAGTTGTTGGCCTTTGGCCATTAGAATTTTCTTACATTTTAATAACTGTCGTGTGACCAACTGATTTCAAGAAGGCAGTGTTTCTGAGAGAAAACGCTTGACTCCAAGACATCTCACCAACTCTTGAGCGGGCATGAAGTGATACGTGCTTTTATTCAAGGGAAAAAAAAGTCAATGGAAGAAAAAAACCCAAACCAAACCAATATGGGGCATATCAAGAGCATTCAGTTTTCTCTTTACTGTGATTAAGATGCAGGCTGTAGCATATATACGTGTTACAGCACACAGACAGCTCAAACAGATCTGCCAGACATTGAAATCCAGAAAGGTCACATCTATTAATCCTTTTGCTCTGAGATTTGGATTTTTGACTGGTGTTTATGTCCATTGCCGGCAATGGAGGCACCAAAACTGCTGCTGCCACCAAGGAGTGAGTTCTCCTTTCCTGCCCCACCTGATTCCCTTCCATTATATTGTATTTACTAGTCAGTCATTAAGCACTTCTGTTTTCTTGTAATAAAACCGGCATTAGGCCTTTACTGAATACCTCTCTAGAATACCTAGATCCAAAAATTACCTGCCTTTTGGCCTTTAAAGTCTTGGTTTTGTTCCCCCACCTCTTTCTCCATGAGGTCTATCAGAACCACTCCGTGACTCGTTTGGGTTCTATCAGTGCACATACCGTGCTAAAAAACTAGGATCAGAAAGATGCAAAAAGATGGAACTCGCTCTTTATCTGCTGTGCTAAGCAAGCTTGTGATTTTAAAAAAACAAAAATCACTCTCTAAATGAGAATTTAATTTCATCAAAGATTAAATATTTTCCTACCTTAGTGATGTTAACAATTAACAGTTAAAGGATTAAAACAGGGTAGTGAAAAGCCACAGAAACTTACAATGAGTTCTTAAAAGCATATGTAGCGTTTTAAGCTACTGTAGTGCTTTGCTTTGCTTAGGTGACCCATAAATGTAGTGCGTCTACATTTCTAATATACTTGTGTTTTAGAGCAAGTAAGAACATACGGCTTCCACTTGTCCACGGTAGTAGCTGCTGAGCATTTTTAATACTTGCAGTGCAAACTGATTCGTGTGCAGCAACAGTGTGCAACACATGGTTTCTCATTTGTTTTGGCAGTGCCATATTTTTCTTTGCTGCCTGATGGAGTCTTTTAGTATCTGATCAGTGCTGTAGCAAACATTCTCGCTTGTAGAGTCAACCCCGAATGTACAATACCTAGTGAGCAAGTAATTGTGAATGTAGGAAAATACAAGAGTTACAATACTGGATACGCCAGTTGGGAAAAAAATTTGAGTACTGAGTTAGGGTGTGATGTAAAAGCAGGAAAGACCAGGAAACAGAATGGAGCACTGAAGCTTGCATCAGGAGTGTCGCATTTTAAAAATGACCAGTTGTTACCAAATTTTACTTTCTCTAGGTCACTTCTCAAAAACAATTTTTCTGTCTTCTAAGAAGTCACCCTTGGTACCTGAGCCAGCTTCATCCCACAGGATCTAGAGTTCCTCCTTAGGTAGTGGGAATGGTGTGCAAGATAAAACTGCAAAAAATGCCCTGGAAAGTATTACCATTTAAAAATGTATTTTTCTCATTTCTAAGGCCTCCTGCTTGATGGAAAGTGTACAGTCTCCTGTTTGGGAAGATGACATTTTCCAACATGAGGCCAACTGACTGCCACAGAGGGTTCATTCTGTTACAGTACATAAATGTACCAGAGTGGAAACGTCTTCCTGCTGTCCTTATGTTCCTGTGCCCTTTTGCACTCATTGTGAGATCAGAAATTAAATGTCTTTGAGGAGGGATCTGCAGGTGTAGCTTTTGGCTTAGAGAAAGCTCAAACTATATGAGAAACCGGGAAAAAGGCCAGGGATTTTTTTAATGTAATGGATTTAGATGTACTAGAACAAGCATCTATTAGCTGAACATACAAAGCATTTATTCAACAAACTCTTGTTTATTCCACACAGGTTGTGGAATAAACACAGGTTGTGTTATCTTTTTTTAGCTGCAAACTCTTCTGAGTATAACTGACTGGGAGAAGAATGAGTTCCTAAGTAGCACTGTTGAGGGGAAGAACATATAAATCAAGTGGAAGATTGGACTGTTTTTGTGTCACCAGCATAGATGCTGGATATTTGCTTTCTTGCATGGGACTTGTGTGACTGTCAGCAACACAAAGCGCACTAGTAGCTCCACTCTGCATTAATGTGGTGCATTAGTAAAAGCAGAAGGGTGGTAGTGATAAGAACTGGGTTTCACCATGGTTGCTGTCTTGTGCTTGTCTAGTTGAGTCTGATAAACCTGAGCATAGTCTTGATTTAAAAATGGAAAATGGCATCACCAAAACAACTCTTAGCGCTGAAATCTTGTAGGAAGGTCAGTGCTGAACAATCAACTTTTTGATAGTTTAATTTCCTACATGTTGAATTACATTATAAAATTACTGCATCATCCTGATTATTTTTTGAATGAAAAGATTGCTCTGTTCTAGCAGCACTTGAGAGAAATGAGATGCATTTTTCTAAATTGCTCATTTATGAAGTAGGTCACCTTCAAGATTTCTTTGTATTAAGTGTCTCAGTTACTCTTCCTATCACAGGAGCTAATGACTTACTTGGATTTGTTTTGTTTTCTCTTCACTTCTGTTTTCTAATTGCTGTGTCTGAACTCTTGGTGAGAGACCTTACTCAAAGAAACTCTAGGGGGAAAAATGTATATTCACAGAAGAAAAATTGTATGGTAGTGGTACACTTGTTCTGATTTCTCTTCACATCTGTCATTTGAACTACATTGGTATCCAGATGCTGCAACTGTTTAATAATTCTAATCATTCATTGTCAGGGTGTCCATTTTATACCTCTCTTTTCAGGTGCTTATAACTTGTTTTCAGTGTTCTTCAGCAGGAAATCCTGGTCTAAACTTTCCAATAATTATTTCCAATCACATATTTTCAAAAACTTCTTTTACAAAAAGTAAATGAGGAATTTTTATAGCACCAGTTTTTTTACATTCACTTTGTACACAGCGATTTAAATAAATCATGGCAGGAATGCTCGCCCCAAGAGCTGGTCTGACAAAGAGATTTGTATCATCTCGTTCAAAATGGCAATATATAGGCCTTGAAAATTGGTTTAGGTACATGTGCAGTGGCTACTGTTCACAGGCTTGTGATGTTCTGATGTGCAGCGTGCACCCTTAGCTGTGTATTTACATTTGATGTATGCTTCCGATTTGGTGGGTATATCAAATCCTTAAATATATATATAAATATATATAAAAGATCAAGTAGTTCAATCAAGACACTAACTTTGGGAAAAACATTGTGTTGAGTATGGTGGGGGAAACTCTAGAAATGGAAGAGCAGAATTTTGCAATTCCTTACGTGCTTAAAACACATATACATATATAGAAGCATTTAGGATATTGTCCAAAGTAAGGATTTGCAGGATCAAGACCACGTTTCCTGTTTGTTTCTTCTTCCTCCCCTCCCTAACAGCTGGGATAGGAAGTATATCTCACTTGAAACACTGGAAGGCAGAAAGTAAAAAAAATCCAACAGGCATGATCCTTTTGCTTCTGGTATATACTGATGTAAGAAAAATTCTGTGACTGATTTTTGATGTTTGACAGTTGAGTTCCCAATCTGAGAACTAGCAGAGAACTCTGGCTTCAGAAATATTTACCAGTTGAAAATTACTTCTGAATCTGGAAACCCAGCAGATTGGGGTGTTGAGGACTACTAGTCACTTCAGAAAGTCACATCACTTACTGAGCTCTTCTTTTAGATTAGATGTAACTAACGGAGATAGTTCATAACAACAAAAACCACGTGCTTGGGAATTGATTGCCCCAGCACTTCATAGTAACTTAACTTACTTTGTGTATTACAAAAGATGTATATTGCTTAATATGACACTTAAAAAACAAAAAGAAGATTTTGTAGAGGTTCTGGGGGAAAGAACAGAACACTCTAAAGTAGGTAAGTTTTTATAATTGAATCTGTGGTGTAAAGCCTCCAGATTCAACTGCAATTAAAAGCAAGTCCTACAACTTGGGTTTTTGACTATCATTTTGTAAATGCTGGCACCCCATGCCTGAGCTGAGCAGCAGGAGAGGGGACAGTACTGCAGTTAGAGGGGGCATGTGTGCCTGTAAGTACTATTGCTGCATATAACCCCAAAGGTTGCTACCAAGGGCTGAACAATGGAGGGGCTCTGTTGTTCGGTTGGTTTACTTTGTGCACTTTGCAGCACTTTGTGTATAGTCGGTCTCACTGGTTCCCCAGGTGCAGACGGAGTCACTTGCTCCTGCTGTTTGGATGCTCATTCAAATAGCAGGAGGAGATGGGGAATGGACGGAGGAAAGTGGAGCAGAAAAATGTGTATGCAAACCCATGCCATTTGCAAGACAGGCCTAAAAACTACTTGTGACTTGCCCTTTAAAGACTATATATCTAATGGAAGGTCTCCATTTAGGAGGAACATCCCAATTACCCTCCTTTTCTCATTCTGACCTTCAAAGTAACTGGAAAATCTACTCGAGGTCTCATCCTTCCTTGAAGAAATAATGTTCCAACACTGCAATGTGGATGTGGAAAAAATCAGGATCAGTCTATAGAATATTATGACAATGTTTGTTTCTGGAGACATTGGTCCGCACAGTTTGCTTTCTTGTTTGTTCCCCTGACTGTGTCCCACTCAACTAAACTTAGATTAGTCTGTCAGAACTTGACTTAAATGATTCTATGGGGATAAAGTCCTATGAAAACATGCAATAGGCCTAGTTATGAGTGCACCATTTGTTAGTTAGTTAAAAGTCTGTAATAGATATTAATCTGCTACTCAGGGTAGTGGTAGAAAAGGAAATCAAATCATAAAACTGTAAGCCTTGTTTAGTTTGCCATTTTGTACCCATTATATGGACTCTAAAATCTTGTACAGTATCTTATTCCTATCCTGTATTCATTCAAATGATACTCCTCCCCCAAACTTGCATTAAATCAATGTGTTGTCAGTGCCAATGCGGCTGCTCATTCCTGCCCATGTTCCACAGCCCTCCTGCTGCGGCCAGGAACGGGATGTGACCAATTCAAACGTATAACGTCACCGCTCCCGGTATGCACAGCAGTTCTCACATGGGCACAGATGCTCTACATTAGATAAACATCAGGCATTTTCAACGTCCTGGGTAACATAGAACAGGTCCCTTGCCAGCAGAATGGTTACTCTCCAATATTCTGTGAGAACTGGATCGAATCTGCCAGACAGGTCTCTTTAACATACACTTCCATGAAATACAGTTTTGTCTTAACTCCTGGGTGCTGGTTTGTATGTTTGCAAAGAAATCTTGAGTTCCTTAAAAATGGTCTCCTTCACAGCTGGCCTCAATTTTTTGTTTTCTTTCTCTAAGGAATTAACACGGTGAAGTTCCACAAGCTGAGCTCTTTATGTAGAGTTTAACCCTTGCGTTTCTTGAGCCCTGAACTTTGGTTTTCTTCAGTTTCTCTTCAATCATGACTTGTTACAATATCAAAGGGAGAGGACCGAGGGGACACACACTGTGTGTGTGGGAAGGGGGGGAGATATGTTGAAAAAACTGGAAGTGTTATTCTTGTTGCACATAAATTGGGTGGTGCTTTCACTGTCTTTTCCCTCCCACCAGTAATACCACGTGCATGTAAAACATGCTGCGTTTAAACTTTTTTAAATGGAAGTCATGGTGGCCTCAGTGCTCAAAGGGTTAACTGCAGTTTATTAACAGCTAATGTTTTTAGATTTGCAGTACACAACTGTTTAAATACTGTATTCCTTGTAAATGAAGTTAAAAAAAAAAATGTTAAGGCTGGTGCCAATATTTTTGTTAATGAATTGTTCAGCGTTGTCTCTCACTACAGTCTGGTCAGAACTCTTTGTGTATAAGCTGGGCCTGAAGCCATTTTATAGCTTGTAGGCCTAATTGTGTAACTTTTCTTTCATAATGGTTTTGTTATAATATCTACTGTCATTTCTTTCATATAAATATGACATGTAAATTGTCATAATAAAAAAAAATTGAAATAACTGGATGTAAAAAGTATAATGTGTATTGAAGATACAAGTGAATTTTAATGGACATCACACGTGCCCATTTCTTTTTCAGTTTTAAAACAAGCACGAGGTAATGGCTGCTGTGTATTGTTCCAGCCTGTGATGATTCCTTGCATGTCATTCCCACTGTCTGCCTTGGGAATGGGCAGCTCATAGTTTATGTTGCTTTTGTTATGGCAGCTCAACTGACAGTCTTTCTTTCTTTCTTTCTTTGGCCAGCTCTGGCTGATGGTGGGAGAGGTCTGATGGACTTGTTTTTGCAGTCACAATGATTTTCTGCATGTATTCCATTTTCTACATAATTTTTTATCTCATTTCATAGCGATGTTGCAGTCACTTGACAAAAACGAGTATGCCTTCAGCCAGCACCGTACCCAGCTAGGCTGTTCCAGCAGACATCCATGAGGTTTCGATGTCGTGCTAATGAGAGAGGAGACAGGTTCATTGATTCAGGCTGAGATGTGTAAAACCTGGAAAAAATGGGAAAAAAAAAACAAAACCTGCAGAGATGCACTGGAGAAGCAGATATTCTGACATGTGGCAATGGTAGCGGACACTGATGATATTTCAGGACTTTAACAGAAGAAATTCAGGGAGAGAGAAAAAATAAGAGGGGGGCTTCTCTCTGTGTGAATCACACTTTTTTTTTATTTTGAATGTGTCTGTGGTTGTAGTCAAGCTACTACATGTTCCTGTAGTGATGAGAAATTGCTGTGAAAATCATCCTTTTGCTCTAGATCCACTGCCAAAATTTTATATTTGCATTTTTTGATGCGTTCTGGGTATTTTAAGTCTGAACTGGCCATCTTATGGCAGGCAGTGCTGTGGAAAGAAACAAACTCCCTTAGGTGGCAAGTTCTGCATTCTGTCCTAAGTGACTCTTAACCTCGAGAAGGTACCTGCTGCTCTCCATTGCCTCTGAACATGGCCCTGGTTGACTAAATCACTATTGGACACCCAGTGTTAAGATATCGGTGTGGGCTTGGATCTTGACTCACTTAAAGCTCTTACAGCTGAGGAAAAGCATTTTCAAATAGTACCATTCTGTTCCATTTGTAAACTTCCGGGAAATGTCTGCCTTCCTGCTCTAAACTCCTGTTAGGTGCAGCACTCAGTACTGGGGTATGAGCGGATTGGTATGTCTGGATTGTGTAAATGAGGAAGATAAGGATTTCTCCTCCTCTTTAATGCCTTGTCCTCAAAACCAACTTCCCTGCCTGGACTTAAGCCACACTTTTTCCCATTTTCTTTTGGAAGAATGGTATGTGACAGAAGAAAGACTCGCATTTGCATGCAGGAGGAGAAATGAACTCTCTAGTGTTCCACTGCAGTGGCTTAATCCAACCTCAGTCGCTCAGAAATCTTATAAATGAACAACCTAAAGGAGTTGTGTGATTTGGAGTTAACTACAGAGGGGCTCTCTGTGGCTGATATAACAGTCGTGTTAGGTAACAGGGAATGGGCATGAGCAGGAATACTGATTTATAATCACAAAGTGTGGTGAATGGTGTTTCCATGCTTTTGCATCTCTTCCCACCACCTGCCACAGCCTGATATGTGTTCATAGATGAATCATAATTTTTTGTTTCCAGATGAGCCCTTGTCTTGGCGTGGCAAACTTGAAGACGGTTGAGACGTTTCCTTTTCCTCATCTCCTGCTGCCTCTTTGGTTTTTTTTCAAGCTGTTCCAGTGGTGTTTAAATATCGCTTCGTCGTGGAATTTGCTTTCATTTCAGTCAAGGTGGTTATTTATATGAGTAATAATTATTTGCATAATTAGAATCCAAAATGTGTAGGCATGGTTGAGAAGCCTTCCAAAGCATTGTCAAAAGCTCAGCCTAGGAGAACCACATTATATTCTTGTTCCCCCCGATTTCTTCACACGCTTTCCTTTTCCAGAATGCACTGCTTTGGTTCTCTGCTATCCAAGACTGTAACTAGGAAAGTCCAGAGAAGGAAAAGATGGAGACCTAATCCTGTTCATATTTGGTTTGTGTTTGTGAGAAGCTGGGTTTTCACCCAGGGAGGTACATATCATAGTACTATTGGGCTGCTGATCCCAAGTTCATTAGTGCTTAAGGAAATCAACTGGATACCCTTTAGGCAATTCAGGTACTCATGACATTTTTTTTTATTCTCTGTGTGCATCTATCAGGCATTGGGTGCTGGTCATCCACCTAAAATTCCCTTTCCAGCATCTGAAAATGGTAATTGAAAAGCTGCTGTGTTTTGTTTTTCCCTTTTCACCTCTCCAACAGAGACTTACACGCTAAAATAGGTATGCCAGAGTTCAATAAGTGCTTGGACAATGCTGTCAAGACACATGATGTGATTCTTCGAGTTGTCCTCTGCATATCCAGGAGCTTAACTTGACCTTGTGGGTCTCTTTGAATGTAGGATATTCTGTGATTCTAGGACTGGACCCGGTACTGTCAACTATAGAGTCATAGAATTATGGAATGGCTTGGGTTGAAAGGGACCTTCCAGATCATCTCATTCCAACCCCTATGCCACTGGCAGGGACACCTTTCACTAAACTAGGTTGCTCAAATCCCCATCCTCCAGCCTGGCCTGAAACAGTTCCAGGGATGGGACATCCACAACTTCTCTGGGCAACCTATTCCAGTGCCTCACCAATCTCACAGTAAAGAATTTCTTCCTAATATCTAATCTCACCCTGGCCTCTGTCAGTTTAAAGCCATTGCTCCTTGTCCTGTCACTCCATGCCCTTGTCAGAAGTCCCTCTCCAGCTGTCTTGTAGCCCCTTTAGGTACTGCAAGTGGCTCTAAGATGTGCTTGGAGTCTTCTTCCCTCCGGGCTGAACGAGCCCATCCCTCTCAGCCCGTCTCCACAGCTGATGCGTTCCAACCCTCAATGATCACCTCCGCGCCTCCCCTTCGCTCCTCTTTTCCAGAAAACGAAAACTTCGCTCTAAAACTGCCAGAGGCACTCCTGGAGCACAGCCCGCATCGCTGCGGAGGTACGTGTATCGCTTCGCACCGCAAGGAACACCGTGGCTGGGGGTGACACGCCGCCCTCTCCCGCGGATCCACGCTGCTGTGAGGGGGAATTGCATCACAGAGCGGCGCGGTTCCTGTTCCGGCGGCGGCGATGGTGGAGCAGGGAGGCGGCGGCGGCGCCATGAGTTTCCTCAAGCGGTTCCCGCCGCCGGCCGATGGCGTTCGGCACCAGCAGCCGGACACGGAGGCGCTGCTGGCGGGGCGCAGCCTGGGCGCCGGCACCCTCTACATCGCCGAGAGGTGCGGGGGAGCACACGGCGCTGGGGACCCTCGGGGGACCGTGCTATGAGGGGCTGCTCCTGAGGGCGTCCTGCGGGGGCCGTGGGATATCCTGAGGAGGCCGGCGGGTGGGAGCCTCCCCTGAGGGGACTGCGGGGTCACCCCTAGGGGGTGAAGGGCAGGATGTGGGGGATTTGGATAAGGGTGTGTGGGAAGGCCCTGGGGGGCTGTGAGGGGCAGGCGGTGTGAGTGTCCTGCTGTTCCTGCTCGAAAACGGTGTTTTAAACAAGGGAAGAGGGAACAGCACGGCAAGGGAGACCGGCTGGTGGTGCATTCAGGGCCAGGTTGGATGGGGCTTGGAGCAACCTGGTCTGGCGGAAGGTGTCCCTGCCCATGGCAGGGGATCAGGACTAGATGATCTTGAAGGTCTCTTCCAACCCAAACCGTTCTGTAATGAAAAACACGGCACCTCTCCCCTTTTCACAGGGGAGTGGATGGGGCTGTTGGGTTTCTGCTGTTACTAGCTACTGTGGTTCTGTGAAGTCTTTCATGTTGCATGAATCACGTGGAGACTGTATGTTCTTACTAGGCAGAAATCAGTCTGGTTATTCTGGAAGATGTCTCCTTTAAATCTTCTCTGCATTGTACAGTTCAAGAAGACAGCTTAATGGTTAAAGCAACATAATTTTCTTTGACCATGGAAAATATTCGTAATATATTCTGCACTAGAAGAACATTGTTAGAATAAAAACGTCATTTAGAATGAGAACAGAGAATTGTCTTTTAAAACCTTTATAGACTAGGAAACATTTGTAAAATGGACAGTGTTGTTGGAGAGGCTTTTGCCCCACCTAAGCTTGTTAGTGGTGTTGTGTGGGAGAGGAATCTCTCTGGAATTTTGTTTACTGTTTTGTTTAGTTTGGTCACAGATACCTGAGCTTTTGTTTGTGCGATGTCAGCTCTCAAGAGGTGTAATGTTGAGTTTCTCTGTAACTTGCTTTCAATACATTTTTGTGTGAGGCACAATACAAGGCTGCCACCTTCCTCTCAACTTGTTTGGAGCGTTTTGCAGAGGTTTTACCAGAGTCAGTTGCTGGTAATGAATAGAAAATGCCAGTGTTTGCAGGAATGCCGTGGGAGAACTGGGCACCCAGGAGGACAGTGTGGCTCTGGATCCGTGTACTGAGTCTCTATCAGCAGCTGTAAACATTGAGGACTGCCCAGTTGAGGCTAGGAAAGAAATTCTTTGCTCCCACTGCACTAGTTCTTGCTCTCAGCCAGATTTTCCAAGGCAAGGAGTCTTCTGTGACCTTTCCATTGGTTCTGTCTCTCCACAAAAGCTTATGAAATGCTGAGTTTTGCATGTGGTAGAGGTCTCGCTTTCTGCCCCTCAGTATTTCTGTTCACTGTGTGACCTCATTGATCGCAGACACTCAAAACCAGCTTGAGTGTGATTTCTCGGTGGCTAGAAAGACTTCTATCATTCTGATACAAAGGAGGCAGCAGCCCAGTGGTAAGAACCTGTGCTGTCTCTTGCTGTGGTTAGTTAGGGATGAGAGTGAAAATGGGGGAAGCAGAGGTTATACAGCAGAGGTTGCAAGGGGAGGAATGTAACCTGTAACCTGGCTTTGTTAGCTCTGCTGATCACAGAACTGTTTGTTTTTATACATCCAGGCTATAGTCACATCATATCTGTAATTCTCTAGAAATTGTGATATTGACTTTCCTTTCAGTGTTCTCCTTGTCTTGAGAAACCACACTGAGTAGTTTGAGTTATAAATCACACTTTGGAACCACTGTCGTTATCTTTGGAATGATAGGTACCTACAGGGAGGAGAAAATGAAGAGGTAAGGAGTGAAATTCAGCATTCAGTGCAAATGTGATAAAGCTGTGATGTTTTTGGGGTGCTCAGCTTCACATTCTTTGAGAAGAGGTTTCTTTTACCTCAGCCAACAGTTAATGCCATTTCAAAGTCCCGTTTGGACAGGTGCAGGTCTGTGTATGCCTGGAGAGTGCCTTGTCCAGAATTACTCTTTTAGGATTGTTTTGCTTTTCTGCAGGCTCGAGTCAGGTACCGTGGATACCACTGTTAGTTTGTAACTTGTGTCTTTTTTCCCCTTCCTTGTTAGTCGCCTGTCTTGGTTGGAAAACTCTGGAGTTGGCTTCTCCTTGGATTATCCCACCATAAGTTTACATGCCGTCTCCAGGGACCTGAGCGCCTTCCCAAGGGAGCACTTGTATGTCATGGTGAACGCCAAATTTGAAGGTATGCCCGGAGTGTTCCTTAGTGCTCCCACTCTGTCCTGAGTGACGTGGTTTCTTCTTCAAAAAGAGTAATTGTTGGTTTTAAAAATTATAGGCTTCATTTGAGTAATAGCTTGTATTTTCTTTTTCATTTTTACAAAGTATAGTTATCTTAGAAGTACAGCTTTGCACGCTTCTGGAGTCCCTTCTGTACAGTTCTGCTCTCAGCCTGGGACTGTGTACAGCTGGAGATGCTGAGAATCACTGCTCTGCTCTGTTACACCATTTTAAACAATTTAGTTCCTCTGCAGTCTCCCTGTGATTCCAGCTTGGGTATAATTTTTCTCTTTATTGAATTTATATTAATGTTGTTGCCCTCTCCAGGCTTTATGGATTCCTGCTGTTTCACAGCAGGCTGGAAATTTTCATTCATTTTCTCCCACAGCTTACTTAAAAACAAAAAAGACAATAGGTCATGTGACCAGACTTTAATGGATCTTTGTAGATTGCCCACTAAACCCACCTTTTTGACTGTTCTTGCTTTCATATAGAGAAACAAACTTTCTGTTTCATTGTTTGTATGAAGGTGGGTTTTTTTTTAATATATATTAATTTTTTTTTTCTTATGGTAGACCTACTAATATTTTAACTGTGTCATAAACTGCCGTCTCAGTTGAAGAGTAAAGGGTGTTAGCTCTTGGGCAGGTCTTCTTTTCCCTTCATACCTACTGGTCATAATAGTTAAAGGTTAAAATCTGTTGGTTTTTTTTTTTTTAATGTATCCAGAAAGTAATGACAAGACTCTGAGGAGGCAGAGCCATTTCCAAGCTATTAATACTCTTCATTATTTCCTTCTCTCAAGTTACAAATAATCTCTGACAGTCTGTCATTACAAATAATAAGAGAACATGCATCTTCCTCCTGGTTCTTCTTCCTCATTTTCCTTTAATGGGTTATTTTGAAATAAACTGAGCCTCGTCTGAAGAAAGATACTGTTTCTAGCTTTTAATTCGTTCTGATCATGGTGTTTGAAAATACCAGATATCCTGTGTTAGTTCTTATCTAGAAATCATTAATAGACTGGTTTTTATGTGGGTTTTTTTGTGTGTGTGTGTAAACTTTCTTTTATATGTAAACACTCTGCCTACAGTAAATCTTCTACAGCAAGTAGATTTTGGTTTTCAAGTCTAGCCCTGGCCTGCAGTTTTAACTGCTGAATAGTGTTAAACCCAAACCTTTCTGCTTTCTTGGCTGCAGGAGTCTTCATTCTCAGTTGGGCAGAGAACATTTTGTTCTTCTCTGAAAGTTTTTGTTGTGCTCTCTGTGAGTTTGTGCCTTGTCCTCACCCCTGTTTTAGAAAAAGGCACTCAGAGGTTGACTCCATTGAAAACAAAGAGCTGGACTCAACAGTAACAAGCTGTGCCTGCGGGTGTCTGTTGGAAAAGGATTGGGCAGCTTCCTTTGCACACTACATTTTTGGGGGCAGCTGGCTGGCAGCTTCTTGGCATCTTCGTATTCTTGGTGGTGCCAGTTTTGTATGTGATAAAAGCCACTCTCAGTGGAACAGCATCTTCTGTAGAAAACAGTTATGCCCTTCTGAGGCTGTCAGTGCAGTGTCCCCAGCCACAAAGTGATGAACTGCAGCCATTCCCTGCGGTTTTTATATTCACAGAAAGTAAAACACCGTGTTGTTGCTTATTTATTCGTGCACAGAAGTCAGGAAGTGCCATCTTGCCCATAGTTGTCACTGGCTCTGGGTGCACTTTCTACCTCCAACATCTCACTGGCTAGCTAGGAATATTGGAAATGGAGTAGAGATCCTCTGTAAATGTCAGTCCCCTGTCAGGGGTCTGGAAGGTGGCTGATTTCATGACAGTAATGTTAAGGATCTGTCAAATTCATGTGATTTAAAAAAAGACGTGTAGTGTCGTGCAATTAAATGGTAACAATTGTGTGAATTGTGAATTAGGGGCGGGGTATGAGCACACTCGGTTTTAATAAGGATCAGGCAATTTTTCTCAAGTGCATGAATACATTGTGTGACCATTACAGAAATCTTAAGTCGTAAAATTGTAAGTAGAGAAGTTTTTGTGTGCGTTGCAAGTGCTGTCAAGGTGCTGTGAGAAGACCTCATATGTCTTTGTGAGTCCTGGAATCTCATGGGGTTTTCTGGGAGAACAGAGAGGGGTTTTTTGTGCCTCTGTCAGGTTGTGTCCAGGTTTCTGACTTGATTACATGTGTGTTCCTGAAAGAATAAACAAATGTGACTTCTTTTTTTCTTCTTCTTTTTTTTTTTAAACTAAATAAACACATTTCTCTTAAATATTTCCATTTCCTAAAGAGGAGACAAAAGAGGCTCCCATGGCTGAAGGGGAGGAGGAGGAGGACGACAGTGATGACGATGTTGAACCGATTGCAGAATTCAGATTTGTACCTAACGACAAATCAGCCTGTAAGTGAGGGGGGAAGCTGTGTCTTAGTTTAAAGTCCTGGCTATATGTGGAAGACAGTGGGGTACAGAGATGTAAATGCCATGATTTTTCAGTGCCCTTCTTTTAATTCCCTGATTCCTGTGTGCTGAAAAGAGCAAAGCAAATTTTTTTATCTGGCTTGAAGCTGGAATATTTCAAGCAGCTGCTTCTCAAGGAAAATTCCAATGTTTTAAAATAGAGTATAAATACATGACATGAACAGTCTCACTTATATACATTTGGAGAGAACATATATGGGAAATGTCTTTTAAATTACTAATTCAATGATATTTGAGTCAGCGACAATTTTATTAGGAACATGTTAATACCCAGACACTATCACTGGAAAGCAGTCATTTCCTGTCTGGTGTTGAGCTTACAGTTGGATTTGAGTTTTAAGAATCTGATGAATGAGATACTGCAAGGATTCCTGTAGTGGGTAACCACAGGTGGAATTGTCCATAGAGAAACCTTTATCATCAATGAAATTACAGAGAAGTGCTGTTAAGAGGATAAAGCACCAGGCTGGGACCTAGGAAACACGATTTGTTTCCTGCATGGCTGCTGACTTGTGGGATGATGTTTTCAAATAGGAATTCCATGGTGGTTCTGCTAAAGGAATATTCTTAATCTCTTTGATCACTCAGTCCAGGGTTTCTTTGATGTTGTTTTGGGGTATTGGCGTAGAAACCAGAGAGGTCTGTGTTCCCTTGTGTTCCTGCAGTGGAAGCCATGTTTTCAGCCATGTGTGAATGCCAAGCTCTGCACCCAGACCCGGACGATGACGATTCAGACAATGATTACGAAGGGGACGAGTACGATGTTGAGGCCCGTGGTTGGTAACAGTTGCTTCTTTTGAAATATCTGCCAGCACTTGGACACCTGGTACCTGTCATAATTGTGTATTACTCATCTTGCCAAAACATTCTTTTTGTCACAGACCCAGTATAGAAACACATAAATCGGCAGGGAATACATAGTTTAGCTGTCACAAATCACAGGAATTCAGCAAAAGCATTGTTCTGGTTCTCAAAAGGCCACAGATGCAAAGAGCGGCCTTTCCTGTGCCCAGTGGCTGTGCTGGCCCAGGCTCAGTGCCCATGCTGCAGTGTGGTCAGTTCACATCACTGTGTACATTCTGTGCCTCATGTAAGCAGCTTTTTCATCTCAGTCAGTCTCATCTGAGCATAACTTGCCTAGCTGATGTCCTGCTCCTCCACCCCTCCTAAACTTAGGTCTGATAAAGACAAACTTGTTTTTGCAGAGCTAGAACAAGGTGACATCCCAAGCTTTTACACGTACGAAGAAGGATTGTCGCATTTAACTGCAGAAGGTCAGGCCACGCTGGAGAGGTTAGAAGGCATGTTAGCCCAGTCTGTCAGCACTCAGTACAACATGGCTGGAGTGAGAACAGAGGACTCGATAAGGGAGTTTGAAGGTAAGAAATGCTTTTGTTTTACCAAAGAATATCTTCATCAGTGACATAGCCAGTGGGATGGGCTGCACCCTCAGCAAGCTTGCAGATGACACCAAGCTGAGGGGTGCAGTTGATGTTTCTGAAGGATGGGATGCCATCCAGAGGGACCTGGACAAACTTGAGGAATGGGCCCACAGGAACTTCAGGAGGTTCGACAGGGCGAAGTGCGAAGTGCTGCATGTGAATTGGTGCAACTCCTGATGCAAACTGGGGGATAAAGGGATTAAGAGCAGCCCTGTCAAAAAGGACTTGGGGGTGCTGGAGGATCAAGAGTTGGACATGATCCAACAATGTGGGCTCACAGCCCAGAAAACCAACCATTTTGATGGCCAGCAGGTCGAGGGAGGTGATTCTGTCCCTTTACTCTCTCTGGTGAGGCCCCACCCAGACTTCCGCCTCCAGCTCTGGAGTCCGGAGCATAAGAAGAACATGGATTTACTGGAGCGAGTCTAGAGGAGGTCTTGAAGATGATCAGGGGCCTGGAGCACCTCTCCTATGGGGACAGATTGAGAGAGTTGGGGTTGTTCAGCCTGGAGAAGCATGGTCCCTGCCCATGGCTGCAAGGTCCCTTCCAACCCAAACCATTCTATGATTCTGTGATATGAAAGCACTGGTTCTCCAGTCTGGCTAATCTATAAATGCAAGGACAGAGCAAGTATGATGATGTGAGTGATACTTTACTGCAGAAGGTATTACCCACATGCCTGTGACCCTACAGGCAGGGTGTTGCCGCTGTGTATTGAGGGCTGCTCTGTTAGAGAGTGAGCACTGCTGTGTTAAGAATTCTTGAATCTTCCTGGTATAATTTCCTGGAAGAGTGGTAGTGTGAAGTGGATTTAGGATTAAAAAAAAATTTAACTTGTCAGTCTACACTGGGATTAGGAAGCAATTTCTACTCTAAATGAGTTGTAGCATTTGTTTGGGTTTTTTTATACCCTAAATTGTAAGTTAATAATTGTCTTAACAGAGTTCAAGGTGAATTCAGAAACAATGAAACATACTGAAAGAGATGTAAAAAAAGATCTGTTTTTCTGAAGGATGCTGTCTCTTAATTCTACTGATGGTTCAAATATGTATTTAAGGAGTAAGATCTCTTTTTGTTGGGTGAGAGAAAACGGATGTCTCAGACTTTGCCTTTTCTGCATCCTGTTTTCAATGGAGCAATATATTACCCGGGAGAAGAACGGGGAAGTAGTTTAGTAGCATTGCTTTTTTTAAATATATATAAATCGTGGTGCTTTTAAAATGCCCATTGTTTTTGAAAGATGGAAAATGATGCAGCAGTTGTGGATTTATAGCTATCAGCTTGTGTAGAAGAGTCAACAAAGTAATAACTAACCTGTTCTCATCCACAGGGAGGATTTTTTTAATCTTATCTGTTTTGTCCGTTGTTTACGGGTTCTTTGTTCTGCAACTTCAAATAAATTTATGTAATGTAAAGACAACCTTAGGTGATACACTCCTGTTTTAGTAGTGCCCTTTGAAAATTTAGTCAGGTTTCTGAACCCCAAAATTTTGAAAATGAATATAAATTGAACAGCAAGTATGTCACATGTCTCAGAGTCATCTTCATCAGATTTATTTACTTTCCCAATCTTATTTGCTATGGTACTGCTGCTTGGTTTTCTGCAATTATAAATCTTCCCAGGGCTGCTCAGTTTCAGAATTACATTAATGTTTGACGTTGTAGCATAGAGAAATTGTTCTTTTGTTTCTTTTGATGATCGTTGAGACCGCTTTCAGAACAGGACCTAACCTCTTTTTGCATAATTAGAGGCATTCAAAGGAATTGTTACATCATTTGTTACACTGAAACCTCATTTAAAACATGAAATAGTTTAAATCCAGTGTTTAAGTCTTTCAGTAGGACAGGGTGAGGTGAGGTTGTAGGAAGCAGTGATGTCTTTAAGTGACCAACCAGTAGAGCTGGAACAAACCCAGAAACTCGTGAGCACATCAGTGTTTCCTTAAGCCGCTTTCAGGAGTTCAGCGACGGAGTTTTCTGTCCTTGCCACCTCTTGTCAGCAGAGGGCACCTGCTCTCTTTCCCGTGAAAACATCATCCGCTTGGTTACAGAGCACTGGCTATTTCTTTCAGATGGGATGGAGGTGGATGTAGCACCAGTAGTTGCCGGGCAGTTTGAAGACGCAGAAGTCGATCACTGAGGAGGACCTATGTGCTGTAAGTTCCTCTGACTTCCAACAGCAATGCTTTTCAGTCCTGCAGAGCCTTCCCTCCCAGTAATTTGTGTAATGTATGTGATCCCAGATCTCCTACAGAAAGTGTTTCATGATTATATCAGAATGATGGTGATTTAGAGGAAGGAAAAGGTAACTGTAGTTAGCACAGGTGTGGAAAGATGTTCAGTGATCTGTCCAAAATGCCTACTGGCATCAACCTGCAGAGGCAACCTGCATGGATATGCCTGTCTGGAAGATAGATCAACCCTTTAGTTGATCTAAGTATTGTCCAATCCAAAGGCTCTTAAATGCTGGTGTACGAATGCTGGAGCCATCCCTGGGAACTTACTGTCCTTAGTATCTGTTGTTTTGCCCTTAGTGTGCAGGATTTCCCAGGCTGTTCAGGGGGGCAAGACAGTTCTCAGCACTGCAAGTCCATCTCATCCTTCTCTGTAAGTGGAGCAGGAACAGTTCCTGTTAAAGTTACCGTGCAGCCTGGATGGGATTGATGTCAGGACTGCACAACACAGAGGCAACATCCTGCTCAGGTGGCTGTGCCAGTGTGCCCTCTTGCAGCTGCTTTCCTCCTCCGTTGCTTGTCTTTCTTTGTCGCTGCAGTTCTGAAAGTCTCAGAGTAGTCCTGTGTTCTCTTACTGACCTCAGCCACTTCCACTGGTGCTGAATTGGTATTTGTCACATAAGAGCTCAAACTTTTCTGCAGTCACACTTCTACCCTGGGAAGGACTTCGCAGAACAGAGAGGAGTTCTTCCAAAAAAGTCCAGATACTGGTTGTCCTGCCACTGGATGGTTACCCAGTTTGGTAAAGGACGGACTTTAAAATTAAAGAAAAGCCTTTAGCTGTAGATCAAGTGCCTCTTAGAGAGTAAATGGAAAGTTTGACTCTGATGACTCCATCTCCAAGATTACTCTGGTCCGTGGTTTATTAAAAAAAAAAAAAATCATGCTGTGGAAAAATTCAGATTTGAGTGCTTTATTTATTAACCTGATTTAAACGTGAGCTGGATTAAGGAGAGTTAGTGGCTGATAGCAGATCTCTAAGGAGCCTGAAAGTGCTGGTAGAAGTGCTGTAGACTGATCTTCTAGCAAAGTGCAAAATACACCCATTAAGAAGCAGTTTTGGTCGTGGAATTCTTCCTGCTGCTTACTCCATGCCTTCCATGGTGCGGCACGTGGCCGTAGGAGGTTAATGCTGTGAGAGGTGACTGGAGAGGGATTCTTTCTGCCTTTTGCTTATGCTGATCAGAGCTGAGGAGCTGATCCCTGTCCAAGCAGATAAGTGACCTGCATGTGCAGTGTCAGGTGTTGCAGTGACGTTGCCCCAGGTGGCATTCCGGGAGCCATGAATGCAGTGGCCCTTTTTAAGTAACCGCCAGCCTGAGTGTGTTGATGTAATTTAAGTAAGTGCAGAAATCTAGGATCCAAGGCAGCAATACATACCTGAAGGTGCAAAGTGACAAGGACACACTCTTGGAGCTCTGTGCTAATGACCCTGCTAACAAGTTGGAGCATGAGGGTGCCTTGGCTCTGCACTCTGAAAATAAGGACAGAGAGGGAGCCTGCTGTGATCTTATGGAACGGCTCAGCCCTTTTAACCCCCTGAACTGCAAAACGATCTACATGAACACCTTGTTGGTGACCCTTTCGAGAGCAGCCTCTAAAGCTCTGCCCCTGTGGGACGCTCATGTTGTGTGTCACTGCTCGTTACTCAAATGGGATGTGACAGTCTCCTGCTGAAGCTCCAGGAAGACTTGCTGGTGGTTGATGTGGGGCATTTCCACTGTTCTTGCAAGAAGCAGTGTTTTGTCTGCTGCATCACGAGGCTGCAGTAATTGTTCCTAAGCAACTGATGTGTCTGTGTGCGGCGGTGCAGCGGGGTCTGCCAGGGCACCCTAGTGCATGCTGTAAGCACATGCTGTCCTTAGCTGACCTCAGTTTGGAGCCGCTGCCAAAGGCAAAGACGGTCAGCCCTTCTGAAAACTAGTGAGTTTGCAGTAAAGTGCTGTCCTCTGACTGCAAACAACAGAGAGCTACTACTTTATAAAGGTTAATGTCCTTTTATTTTAATGCCAATTAAGTAAACTTGGGTGTCTTGTGTCTTTCAGATTCCTCTTGTGGCAATTCCAGAATAAGCTGTAAAACCGAAGGCATTGCAGTGACTATCGGGAGTTAACCTTTTTTTTCTTAATGACCTAAGCTTAGACATCTAGGTCAATAAATGCTTGTAGAGTTGTTTAAAACAGGGTTTGGCATTTGTGACCACTATGGGGTTATTTAAAAAAACAAAACAAACAAAAACAATAAAACCTCTTGCATCTAACACTTGAATGGGGCTAATCGGGGTCATTTCATAGTATCACAGAATGATTTGGGTTGGAACATCCCAGTTAAAGATCATCTCGTTCCAACCCCCGCTGCCGTGGGCAGGGATGCCATTCAGTAGATCAGGTTGCTCAGGACTCCATCCCAGCCCAGCTGTGCAGCACTTCCAGGGATGGATTCACTCTCTGAGCAACCTCTCTGGCCTTTTAAAGAAGACTTTGTAGGAATTCTAGGACTTCAGAAATAAAACTGTAAGTAGAACGGAATTTTAGATTGTCCTGGAATTTTCCATATTTTTTTACCTGTTCACTGACTCAGTGGTGTGACAACTAAAAGGAAATAGGGTTGGCCAAGGATTAAAAGCAAAGCTAAATTAAAAGCCCCTCAAGTAACTGGCTTTATCATTTCAAGTGCTATCCCTTTCATTTCTCTGAGAGCAGAGTTTGGGCATAGAGGAGATGGAGTAAAGTCTGTAATGTCTGGAGAAAGAGAACTGTTTTGTGTCTTTGTATTAAATGTTAACATTGGTAAATAAACTAAGATTTTTGTATCTCACAACCAGCTCTGTGTTGTAGTTCTCAGCCCTTTTCTTCAGCAAACAGCTTCAGCCCTAGAGTTTCAGCACTCTCTTCTGTAACAAAAAACTCCAGTGAAGCCATTTTCATCATTTACCCACATGTGAGGATAAAAGGGTGGAATATTTGCAGAGTGTGCCTGTGACAGAATTAGTCTGACGCATCCCAAACTTAGGAAGCTTGGCCTTAGATTGCCAAGATCTTGATCCTGCTGCAGCTTTTCATGTTTCTTGTCTCTCTGGGGTGGTGTTTTTGCCATGGGGCAACATCAGCAAATTCAGGTTGTTCCCACTTCCCCCCAGTACTGAAAGTCTGATAACAAACTTCTGTTTTCTTTTGATTTGAAGTTGACTTGTGATTCCTTTTTGGGGGTGTTGCTGTGTTGGTGTATGAACAGTTTTCTTTACTGGCCTTACACTCTTTGAATTGTATTGAGTGGTCCTGCCCTGCTTAGCACATTGGGGTGTGATCTGGTTTCAAGGTATGTGGTAATTAGAACCACCCTTTGTTGAATATTTATTAGGAATGCCAGTCAAATTAGGGATGTCTTAATAGTGTTGTGAACCATTGCTGAATAAATGAGGTATTTGGCACGTTACACAATGAGACACTCTACAAGGATGTCTGTACTAACCCCTATATATCCATATGTATATATGTATTTATGTAAATATGAGCATGTTTTTGTTAGGGCTACATTGGAAGGTACTGAGTGATGTGTTGATTTTTGCACTAGGATTTGGAGAATCTTAGCACGGTGAGGTTTTGGGACAGGTAAAACTGTACCAATACCATAGTTCAGGCGAAAGGCTCATTCAGCTCTAACTCACCAGTCACTGTTAAAACATATTGATGGGTTTTGCTCTGTGTGTGTGTAAATCTGAGTTGCAGTGTGGTCTCTCTGTTCTTTTCCACACTAAACTGCAGACTGTTACATACCCTGGCATTTGGGCACAGTTAACCATAGGGCAGCTGGACTGTACACAGCTCCTCTCAGCACTCAAATCCAAGCACTAGGAAGCTCCAAAGGGAGAATTTGTGTTGTTACTAATACGGAGCTCCAGGAACAGACTTCTTGTCTTCTAGTCCAATCAATGGAGCAAAATTAATTTTGGTGAGGTGCAAAAAAACCTGGAAGAGCCCTGAAGGGTAGCACTGAGAAGTGTCTTGTGTGAACTGACGAGTTTTGTTTTCAATAAAACTTCTTTGCATTTAGGCTATGTGTAAGTGATCTGGACTTCATAAGCATTCATTGCTTTGAATGTAAAATACTCATTTTTGTTTGTCCTACCAAAAATAGTTAAATTCTTCAGTTCCTAACTTGGGTTTATTTTTCATTGTTTCTGCTACTTTTTGTTTTGTTGGTTTTGTTTGTTCATTTGTTTTGTGTTAATTTAGTCAATTTAAGGTTTGTCTACCTCTTAGTGTCTCTTAATTTTATATTCTACTTCTAGTGGCTATAAACAGAGCAACTACTTGTTAATCACCCAGATTTGTACCAACTTCTTTTAAACTATATGTTATGCCAAAATAAACAATACAGATGTGGAGAAGTCATATCTGTTATGACCTCTTCACTTATGGACTTTGCTTTTGCAGGCCTTTAAAAATGACATCGAAGTAGGGCCTCTAATCTAACAAATTTTGGTTGCCCATTTTAGTTTGTCTCTGCTTTCTCTTTTCCCTGTCTGTTCTTATGCTCTTTGAGGTTTATTTTTGAGACCTTTACCATGTGGGCTTCTTGGGCTCAGAGGAAACATCAAATCGTGTAAATTATGAAAGGTTTGTTTCCATAAGAAATGAGGCTGAAAAGGGGGGAAAGAAATCTATAAGGCATGGAACACTTTAAAAATAGGTAAAAGGTATAAAAAGCAGTAAAACAAGAAAGGGAAGTTAGAACCCCCTGAAAGTATCTGTTTTAGAAGCAGAACATGGTATAAAAGTAAATATTTTTTCTGAGGATCACCTCTTACCAGGCTCAGTTTGCCTATATGTGGTCCTTGCCGTGAAGTTTTACCAGAGACAATTTCCTTTAGTATGCTAACACACTAGTGTCCATGAGCTGCTGAATGGTAACCCAGTTATCTAGTTCTAGTTCTCTTCAGTGTATTAGCAGTATATTTTTTTTTATTATTATTATTTTAATGACTGAATACAGGGCCATGGTTAGGAACTCTTGTATGTTAAGAACGTTCAAACCATTGATTTCATTTTGCCATATAATCTTAAAGGTACCTTTGAAAATAGAAGTGAGAAAAGATTTTATTGCAACAAGTTGGAAATTACATGAAAATATTTACTTCCCGAACTCTTGCAAAAAAAGATAGCTGGCAATAGGAGCTGTTAAATACTCGGTTCATAATTTTACTGTGAAAAACCCCCATCTGATTCCCTTTCTCTTAGAACATGGTTTGTAAGGTGACTTGGATGCTGAGTTGGGGGGCACGCTACTGAGATCTTTGTAGAACTTGTTAACCATCTCTCCTTTTAAACCTAGTAACTATAAAGTGAAAAACTGATTTTGGCATATCTAAAAATTAAGCTGCATCCAGATGATGCAGCCTCTGGATCATCTGGATGATGAAACCTCATGCTAGAAACAGAGCTTCCAAGGGTGGTACCTATCAGTGGCGTTTGCCTCAGCTGAGGCTGTAAAGGGCATGTTTGTGCCAGTTTGTGTCTGTAGCTTTCCTGTGGTTTTTAGCTCTGTTATTTATTCTCCTATATTGCAGATTCATTTGTTTTTTTAAAAATTGGTAAGAGCTGCATAAAATCAAGGACAAATCGAATACCCCGTGACTCATCCCTATCTACTGTGTCTATGTGAAGAGGCAGCAGTAATCTCTTGATACAAAGTAGGGGGGGTTGCCTAAAATGCCCTTTTATTTTGTGTCTCTACAGAATTTATGGTACTTTACTACTGCTTTTTCCAACCAAGGTAAACATTCAGCAATCTACAGTGAGCCAGGATGCAGCAGAGCCTTCCCAATGGGAAGCGAGAGGTTACTTACCTGCACTCAGGTATTGCTAAAACAATGCTGGTCCTACAGACTTTCAATTTTGGTGTAGGGTGCCTCTAGAATAGAGCTGTGGAGACTCTTCTAGGGAGTAGTGTAGCCTTTCTTCCTCTCAGAGGTATACATATGGCAAGTAGGAATATGGTGATGTCAGTATAAGAGATCTTCAGCTCCTTTTTTGCAGGTGCCATTTTTTGGGAAGAAATCCAATAAATTCAAACCTTGAAAGGACTGGGTATTTCTCTAAAATTAGTTTTGCATGCTGTTGTAATAAAGGTCAGCAAATGGCACTTATGGCTAAAGTGACAAAGTTGCAGTATTTTAACAGTCCTTCACATTCATATGGCTTAAATTACAAAAATGGTGGCAGATATTCCCAGAATCCCAATACGCACTTACAAAATTAGTATTTGAATACAAAGTGATAAATTAATATTTCAAACAGGAAAGCTGAAAATGCAACTGAAAGGTGATGTGGAAGCCTGTGTCAACAGTTCTTTGAAAGCTTCATGTCTGCAGATGTTGAAAATACTTTTTAATGTAGGACTGCCAGATTTCAGGATTCGATGTCTCAGGATATCCGAGGAAAGATTTCATCCCATATAAAAGCCACAAGTATTGTACCTGAAATGAAAAATTACAGAAAGGACCTTTATTTAAATGTACTCGAGCAGGACACAGTACTGGTAATTGAAAATAAACATTATGTTCAAGTATTTCAGTGTCTAACGTGCAATACAGCACAGATTGCAGAAAAATTGAATTTTCTGTCAAAAGGCTTAGAAGCAGTCAGCACTTTCTCCAAACACTTTTTTGTTTTGTTTTCTCACAAAGAAAGCTTCAACCAACCATTCAAGTGGTCCTTACGAGTTAATAATCCTGTTTTTCTTAGTATATTTAATGTTTTAACTCTGGTCTGTATAAGCCAAGCTGAAGTCAGAGCAGTTTGACTAGGTGAATCCAACACATGCACCTTCCTGTTGCTGTATCAGGGCTCCTTTCTTTGTAACTGGATCTATAAATGACTGAATCAGCAGCTTAACCTCCATTTCTCAGCTGATTTTGTTAGCAGTGTCTGGTTTGGTGCTGTGAAATCACGCTGCTTATCTTTTTTACATGCTGCCAAGTGGCTATAGGATAATGGGTGTTTTTTTGAAGATCATTCTGATTTAGGGTTTATTCTGAAGCAGAAAAAAGGGTGAAGTTAGAGACTGTAGTTTCTTCATGAGAATCGTACACTGTCTCAAGTTGGAAGGAGCCCATAAGGGCCCTTGAGTCCAAAGGTCATCCAAATACAGTTTAGTATCACCACATTTTTTTCTCCTGGGAAAAAACAAAAATCAGCATATTCTCTTTCAGAAATGAAGAGCATCCTGGTTGACAGTGTTGCTCATACAGTGCAGCTTGTATTTTATGAAGCTTCTTAGATCCCCCCCAAAAAAAGCTCATTGGAAGGGATTCTCTAGTCCTGTCTCCCACTTGGTGCAGGACTTTGCCTACGCTAGATGGGTCAGTGAGGCTTTCCCTAGCTGAGTCCCTAAAACCTCCAGGCACTGTAGCACTTTTCCAGATAACTAGTTTCAATGTTGCTTCTGAAGGTTTCCTTGGAGATCGGCCTGAACTTCCCATGCCACAGTTTGGGGCCTTGCTGTTACTTGTTGCCAACAAGAACAGTTAATCTCTGGCATCCTTGTAACTACTCTTGACATAATAGTTGACTGTTCTTAAAACATGCTTTCATCTTGTTTTTGCAGCCTAAACGGGTCCAATTGTTGTAACATTTCATAAATGAAAGACAGTCCTAACATTGGCCAACTCTACCTGCATTTCTAGGTGAATCCCAGTAGAGTAAATGGATTCACAATCACTGAGCTTATCAATGTTGTTCCCACCCTGTTACTCCCTCGCTATTTATTGCCTCCTTTCCAAAACCTTACCGATTTACACAGAGGTTTGGAGGCAAACTTTTCTTGAGAAGACTCAGTGGTTAAAAAAAGACATACAGTACCTCAGCCTTTTCCATGCCATCCATCACTAGGTTGTCTCCCCCATCTGCCAATGGACCTGAATTTTCTCTGGAATTTTTTTCAGATTAATATATTTGTAACCTTGCATGTCCCTAGTCTCAGTTCCAGCTGAGCTCTTACCTTCCTGATTTTAAGTGGAAAGCTCTTAAACTCCTCCTTTGCTCTCTGTCCCTGTTTCAACTCCTTACGTGCTGTCCTTTGTTCATAGGGAAGCTCTTTCTCTGGCAAGCAAGGAAAGGCTTTCTGTCAAAATTCCTAGTCTAACTATGTGACAGATTCTCCTGCACATCTAAATCTATTACTGAGCTCTCAGTGAACTTTTCTGAAAAATCACCTTTCCATGGCATACTTTTGTCATTTATGGCAGCTTCCAAGGCAATTCCTACTGACTTAGCAATTCCCTACACAAGCAGAATTTTGTTTTGAAGTCCAAAGTCTAAACAGCTCTGCTATTTACCTTCCCAGTCTCCTTCTGAACCCTGAGCTTTTGTAAGGACTAGAAACCAACTGGCTTGACTCACCACCCATCCTTTGTAAGCAGGCCAAGTACAGGATTACCACTCACCAGCACTTTAGTATTTGAATTAGACTTAATTACTGACAGTTTTCTAGGAACTTCATGGTTTGCATTCACTCACTGCATACGTGTTTTGCTGTGTCAGATGATTTCTGCAGAGCTGAAACCCCCTGAGAGGCCCAGGGTGTGGTAGTAGGAGACCTCTAGTTGTTGAAACTCTCCTTTACTATGGCACACAGACTTGGAATTGTTGTTTCTTTGCTAAGTTACATGCTTCAGTGTTCTGAACATGCTGGAGGCCTCTGAATATCCTGTCCTCTGAGCAGAAAGGTGAAAGTCTAACCCATTGCCTTCCCCCTTGCTTACCTCCTCCATTTACCTCTACTGCTAAGTAATTTTTGTGGTACTTATTTTTCCTCCTAGTCAGGAAAAAACTTTCTCAACTAAGGAATAGTCTTTCTAGTAAAACTGATCTAAAGAAGCGGGTCTTGATTCTGTTTTTATAGTGTTAGAAAACTAGCAGAATGCTAGACCAGGTTGGATGGGGCTTTGAGCAACCTGGGTCTAGTGGACCATGGTGGGAGGGGGGTGTGGAACCAGGTGGTCTTTAAGGTCCCTTTCAACCCAAACCATTCTACAGTACAATTCTGTGATATGCTAAGCTGGCACCTGTCCAGGAATGAGCATCTCATTTTACTGACCTCATGACTAGGTTACCACCTCTTCCCTTCATAGCTTCCATTTCCCTGGTACTGAAAGAGCAGCATTAGCTCAGTCCCCATCATCACTAATAATGCCTGGACAACTAATGTGAATTCCTTTGGCAGTAAAACAGAAACTATCTTTGTTCCACTGGTACTTATTGTGTCTGTGTTCACAGTGCAGAACTTAGGGCCTGCCTGTGCTAAGTCGTAAACACTTGCTGACATTCATACTTATTACAGGAATTAGCTGTTTAAAGCTGCAGGAGAATCACCTCACCAAAGTGAGGTGAAGCCATTTTGAAAAATAAGTAATTAACTACAGTTCCAAGATTATATTCCTGAAAGACCATAAACCACCAGTTGGTTGGTTTGTTTATCCTAAACCAGAAATTGCATTTCATCTTCCTCTTGTGAAGGTGACAAGCAATCTTCCTCTTGTTCCAAGGGTCCTTTCTAAGAAAATTGTTTTGAAGCTGATGGTTAAGAACTTGCTTACAGCTAGATCAGGGTATCAGTTACATACTGAACGCTCTCCAATCTCCTTGGCCTTGTGGGTTTTTGCTATGGCCATAAATGACAACATACTGCACTTTGCACTGGCAATTTCAAGTTTCATGGTATGCTAGTCCATGGTCCTGCGTGAGGTAGTTATTACAGAAAATCACAAAAAAAGCTGATAGACTCCTAAAAGTATTCCCCAAAGGAAGAACAAAGTAATTTAACCACCTAAGATGCTGATGCTGTGAAAAGTAAGACATCAAGTTAGCATATCACTACAACTCTGCCAGTTTCTAGGAAGTCTGAAATAGTATTTCTGCTGACATGTGGATTCTGAAAGTGATTTTTACAATTAAATTTAAAATATCTCTTCCCTCATCATCTATTTTTATGATTCTGCTTAGAAGTTCTTTTCAAAAGAATTTTATTTATCATCTTAACAGGTCATTTTCCTAGATGCCTCATCATTTTGTCCAGCTGTGGAAGAAAAAAATTCTATTCCTATTATTTTCTTATTTTTCAAAAAGTGTCAGAAAATCACTTCATGTTAGCTTTGTAGATCTGCACTCCCCTATTCACCAATTCAGTTTTCAAATGCAGCAATCTCCTCTGTCCTTCCACCTGAGACACAACAGTTGTTCACAACTCTTGGTTTGTAAGGTCTCTTAAGTATCCATGAAGCATCCTTGTTTTGTAATGAGGTATTTATACCACCAGTAGAGTACCCCGCCCTCCACCTGAGATCTGTAACTAAATCCTGGTTACAGTAGCAACACTGCACAAGAAGTGATGTGCCCTGAGTACCCACACCTTTACAACCGTTCAGTCTGGAGTTTCTGTTTGAATTAAGAGACAGAATTCAGTACATTCTAGATGTGAATATTCTACATATGTATTTTCTAGATGTGAACTAATGGCAAATCCCTGTTTATGAATTTTCATAGAAATGTAACATTACTCCCTAATCACATTCTAAATCCCTCCAGTCACGGGTCCATTTGAGTTAATGTCAGCTGATTTTTTTCTGTCAAAATCATCTGAAGGCTTTCTGCAAAGCTCTTCTGCAGGACACATCTTGGCAAATAAGCAGAACATGGGGTTTCATTCCTATTTCTGTAGATCACTTGCCAAAATATTGAATCCCAAGTACTTACAACTTACAAAATCTCTATAAACAGTTATCACATCAAAATCAGTTAATAAAACAGAAAGCTAAAGTTGGATGGTGAGAAATGTTATGTGTTCTGTTAGGACCCAAGTGACGCTGATCAGCTTTGCCGAAGACATTTCATTAACTACTAACTGAACAGTTATCAAGCTTACTCTGCTGTTCAGTCATCCTGTTTGGAGATCTAATTTAACAAAATAATATTAAAGTAAATTTTAGATAGACTGAAACTTCTGTCTTCATTTTTGACTGACTGAGAGTCGAGGCAAGTAGAACATGCACAGACGTGAACTCAAGAAAAGGAAGTTTTTTGTTATAACGAGAGCCCTTTGTTGTGTTTCCTGTGTATATTTTACATCCTGTTGTGCCTTCATCACTGTTGTACCTTCTAATAGGATTAACAGTCATGAAAGAATTTAGGATTAGCAGACTGCTTCTTTATATACCCTCTGAGCAGAAAGCTCAAGATTTGTAAGGACTAACTGTAAACAAACAGCATGAAGTATCACATGCAGCATTTTCATCTGCACACAACTAGAAGTTAAAATCAGTAGCTTTCAATTTAAAACCATAATTTAACTTAGGAAAAATGTAGTTGCTAACATTCCTAATTCTTAAACTAATAACAGATTGTTTCCAGCAGTGACTGGAACTAGAACACAGAATGGGAAATGCAAAGTTTAGACACTATGGAGAGAAAAAGGATTTGATATTATAAAAGTAGTAATTGAGAAAGCATATTTACGGACTTGTCCTAATACCTGTGGGTGTTTTTTAATTTATCATCCCCATGTTCTTTTATACTGTCACAAAACAAGACAGAAACCATGTGCTAACCAGTATGTTTCTCTTTTTGAAGCTAATCAGGCTAATATTTACTTTCAGGTAGCCTCTTCTCCTGTTTAGTATTCTGCTAGAATCTACAAGAGGGCCTCTGGTCAGTGTGATACCTCAGACAGGCTGGATTTTAATACCAGGGCATAAAGTTCCAATCAATAGGCAGTTTCAAATGTATCTAGCTCCAGAGTAAACAGCTATTGTTTTATAACTAACTAGTTAAGCCTAACCTAAACACCAAACTTCTTCCATCTGGAATTGTGCTGTTGTGGTTCTTTGGTAGGTACATTTTCTTGCTCAAAGTATCCCAAAAGTAATTAGACTTTGAACATGACATATGGACTAAACAATTGTACAGCGTAATATGGCTGTTTCTTAAAATAAATTGATTAAATCAGTAGATATTATTTTGTGAACAAAACTGGTGTTTAAAACTCAGTATTAGAGACTTGACTGATGGGACAAGGGGTAATGGTTTAAACTAAAACTAGGCAGATTTAGACTAGATTTAAGGAAGCAGTTTTTTACAATGAGGTGGTGAAACACCGGCACAGGTTGCCCAAAGAGGTGGTAGATGCCCCATACCTGGAAATATTCAAGGCCAGGTCAGATGGGGCTCTGAGCAACCTGGTCTAGTTGAAGATGCCCCTGCCCATTGCAAGGGGGTCAGACTAGATGCTCTTTGAAGGTCCCTCCCAACCCAAGCCATTCTATGATTCACAGAACAGTCACAGGCACTTTACATGGAGCATTGAACAAGAGTAAAAATACACAGCCTGCGTTTGCAAAATGAAACCATGATTCTGAATGACTTTTACACACACATTACGATTTACTACTTTCTGGATTTTATTTAAAGCAGAAAACAAGCACACTATCAAATAAAGAATACCTATTTCCTGATTTTTGAACCATGTACTAAATAACACTTTCTCAAACACATAAAGTATTAAGAACTTACCTAAGGCTGGTGCTATCCAGTATACTAGTGAGTAACTCAAAAATTTGTCATAGAAACAATCTGCATGTAATGAAAACGCCAGTGCTGGGTTAAATATTGCTCCTGTGAGATTTCCACCTGCAATAAGATGTAAATAATGTAAATAACATGAAATCAAACCATCTTTCTTCTCACTAGATTAATATTGAAATGGACATATGATATTACAAGAAATGTGCACCCAGCAATAAAATGAATTACCAGAAACCGTTTGAACAGATAACTTCAGAAGAGTTTATTTGCCTGATGACATGGTTAACAGCTTAACTGTTTCTTAATAGGCTCTAAAACATCTGAAGGGCAGGCTATAACTTCCTTTATCTCTTTCTAGCAAATATGCTTTAAAGAGATAGGCTTGGCTAATACTGAATGTTTCTATTGATAAAACTAAAAGCTGTTTTACTAATGGTCCTTTAAAAGAGGCAGAAATCACACAAATATTAGTAAAGAAGTACTGAGCCTTCACTGCATCTCCATGTCACATGAAACACATGCAAGATATTGGAAAAAAAAAATGTGTCAAGACTGCTTTTGGTAAGGTGACCTCTATACTTTATTATAAGAACACTAATATCACCAATGTATAGAACATTACCATATGGTATAATAACTGTGGCAAAAGCCTTCACAAGCATTCTCTATGCTGTCTGAAGAAAATAAAAGCAAATGCCACCCCATGTCTTGTAAAATGAAGCCAAGCATCTTTCCTTGCCTCTGATTCCAGATGTAAATGAACTTGTCTAAACATATTCTAAATAACTAGATCCAAACACATCACACTGTGGGGACTAAACTGTAATTACACTGCAGAAGAACCTGGAGCTAAATGTGTTTAATTCTGATGTATGTTGTTCTTCTCATTCCAATCCTGCAGAAATAGCATTACTCACAGCAAAATTATCTGTATTTCTGCACTATTAGTTACTAACCACCCCATATCTCTTTTATCTATCAATCTATTCACGTAAAATATAGTTGTGTCTATTTAATTCCTTAAAGCTTATTCTTGATTTTTCCACAAATAAGCTAATGTGAGCTTTGAACTTACCCTTTGTACAAATACCAGGCAGATAAAGTCCTTGTTTGCCATGAGCATGCAATCATTTACCCAAAGTTTTAGTACAGTCTTTGTCATTGTCTTCTTCTGTTTTCTCTTTCTATATTCTCCTTACTATTTCTTTTACTGTCATTTACAGTTCAGGAAAGTTCTTTTACCTACTCAGCTGACTGTGGTTTTGCACTTGTTCTCAAGAGCAACTCAGGTTTACTGTGTGGTCTGTTATTCTGCACAGTGACACATTAGCAACGTCCACGGCTGCCAGGAAGCACAGCTACAATAATTTACTTTGCTCTAATCTATTTATGAATTAACTGCTTCTGCTTTTATATCAACAAACACAGTTGAAAGTAGAATTTCACTCTGAGGATGTGGTTGCTGAACATTGAACATTAGATAAAGAGTTTTAACTGCTGTATTTCTTCAATATGCATTACTAATAACTATTGGAATATCAACCGTAGACCAGGGGCATTAGTATAATCTTATTTAAAATTATTTATTAAGCACCTCAGTCTGTGTACCAGAAAAGACAAATTATTTTATGGCAAAAGAAATATAATCCCTTTGATGTGGTACATATAAAAACTTTAAAAGGGGAAGTAACGTGTGCTCCGCACAATGTGTAAGAAAAGTAATTTTACCTTTTTGCCTTTACTAAAGGCAAAACCAAAGTCAGAAAGAAACTCTGAATTAAAAATAAGTATGTAATTTTTACCTTGATATTTTAGGCTCAGAAAAATCTAACCAGTTCGTATCATTCCGACCTAACTGTAATAATGCCTGTAAATGAAGAATCCCTCAAAAGGTGGATTGGTTTTTTTCTTCCCCTAATTAAATACTTTCCCAAAGGAAATACCAAAAAATGTTCTTTACCATCTTGTATAGGGTCTGCTTCCTTAGCTACTGAATAATTCCCTTTATATGTAGACATAATACTTTTTTTTTATCTGTTTAGTAGAAGAAAGAGAATGAAGTAGTATTGGAGCTTTTGTGTACAGTATGTACTACTATAAAAATTTGCTCTGTTTAAGACTAAATGTAAAAAAAAAATCTGAATATTCTTAACTATGAAAAAGTATAAGAAAAACTAAAGAAACAAGTTGTAATTTTGATAACACTAAATAACTTGATATTTGTTGGAGTGAGCTGCATGGCATACCTAAGTACCTTGTATCGGTACACACAACACTGACCTACTGACATTTGGTTTTTTCAGCTCCATTTATTCAACCATAAAAATACAATTTTAATGTTTTTGAGCCTTGTCTCTGCATGAATACATTTAGAAGGGTGTAAGCCACAGCGATGTGGCTATCCTCCAAAATTTTACCCAAACCACATTGGAATAAGACGTATTCCTTTTTACAGTCCCTTTACAGTCCCTTACAGCAATCATTCCCCTTACAGGATAGAGCATAATTCATGGAATGAAATACAATATACTATGTATGAGATGTTTTTTCTTAACATTTCTGGTTCATTCATAACTGTAACAGACAGAGGTCTTGAAGGCACAAAGGACTTTGTTTTTACAATCACAGTATAAAAAGAAATCATTATCAAGAATTTTATTTTGTAAATTAATGTGTGAAAGTTCCTAGCTAGAACCCTGTGTCTGCCAAATTAAAGTTTTAAAAAAATCATTATTCATTCAATACTATATTTGATAGTTTTGTAGAAAAAAGGAAGAGTGTTACCAGTTTGCCTAAATTAGCATTGCTTTGCCTAAATTCGTGCTGGTTGCCTGGCCCTTTTTGTGCTGGATGTGCAAGAAAGATACATTCCTCTTAGAGAGGCACTCAAAGTCCTTAAATATATAGATATAAAATATATATATTTATATATATAAAAATATATAAGCAGTAAACAAAGAGGTGTAGAAGATTTCCTGAGAATTATGAGAATTATGCAGCCCAACTAAGTTATGCATCTGTGTGCCTTCACAGGCTGTAAATGAGAACTTGGCCTGCTGGAGGCCACTATCTGTGACACCTGATTTGTAAGTCACTGCATGTGACTCACTGCAGTTTCTTACTGCATGTAAGAAACACTGAGGTGGAACAGACCTCTACGCCACGAGAACCAGAGGATTTACAGGATTTATGCACCAGACATTGTCCATGGCTGCCTACTAGGCTGTTTGCTATTGCCTCAGTTACTTGCCATGCTGTCAGCATGCTGTGGGAAGGGGGTTCCAATCAGCAGCCCTCAAAATGGAGAAGTTAACCTTCCACTGGAAAAAGAAATCTGTTACAGTGCAAGCCTCTGACTTCATCACAGTAAGAAATTAATAGCAGCAGCCTGCACCCACACTTGTTGTGTAATAGCTTGGTGATAGGAATCGGGGTTTATGCCTTCCTCTGCTTCAAAAAGCTCCAATCCACGTCTTAGGAGTGGATAGTAAACACCAGGCTCACGCCTGCTGCAGGAGGAGGATAACACTTCTCACCTTTCCTTTTGAAGCTGAGCGTACAGCAAATAGTGCAAACCTTAGGAAGCTTGGAGCAGAGCAAACAAGAAAGAATTAGTTTTTCCACTACGTATGGCATAAAACTAGGTTCAGGATCTGTTCTCTGGAATACCCATGTATTTTTATAGTAGACTGGATTCCAGATTAAAAGAAATGCAAAGAAAAATGTCCAGGTAGCACAGGGTACAGACAGAAGGTGCAAGTGAAAGAGGTCTGGGTGCAGCAGGTCTTCCTGGAAGAACATGCAGATCAATTGCACTGGATAGTTTAACAAGTCCAAGTTTATGACATGGAAGGGGACGTGGTACACAGCCTTCTCCTGCTGGAAAAAGAGAAAAGCCTGGCCAACAACACTGGGAATGAATTCTGTGTTTGAACTACGGAAGAGAAAGGCAATGGGACACATATTGTTTTATATGAGTATTTTCTAAGCAGGAAAAGAATGTCAAGAATCAGGAATCCAGATTTTTGTGCTTGTAGAAGAGAGAGGATAATATTTGGCTACACTTTCACTGATCAATTCAGAAATACATTTAATGTCCTCAAATGCACTGACACCTTGCTTCTGCCTTCAAAAGTTAATTTTAGAAAGTAGTTCAAATTGCTAACTTAGTTCTCAAAATCCCCATGGACTTTTTTTACCTTTTACGCATTAGCTAATTTCAGCTAAAACTAATGATTAAAGGTTTTTTCATTTCTACATCTGAAAATTTGACTGGACGTTGCTCCAGATGCTATTATGTTAAATAGCGTAATACAGGTAAACCTTTTGGACACAACATCAGTGTCACCATGGATGTTTGCAGATAAGAGATCTCCCTCTCTCATAAAAGGATTTGATAATTCCCTAGATAACTTCTTGTGGTGGGGGCAGTAGCACAATCTAGGAGTTCCGTAACCCTCTCTCTCTCACCTCTCCAAACTACGGGATCTCCTTGCCAGTAGAAGGACTCAAGTGACCTAACAACTCTCGGCACTTCACTAGGGACAAAAGGGAGCATCAACAGTCAGAAGGTCAGACCGCTTCCCTTCACTTCTTCCCTCCCACTGCTCCAGAGAGGATGCACAGGTGAGAGTGTCCCAGCTCTGGGAAGCATGAGGTGACAATCAGGCAGAGGCAAGGATATGGACACACAGGGCATTACAGATGCAGGAGGCTCTAATACAACACCTACTTTTTTCCTTTCTTTACATTTGGTTTCAGGAGGTATTACTTTATCATTTCTGTATGCAGTCTACAAATAACCAGTCCCATTTCTGATTTAAGGAAGTAGTTAAATAAACTGCACTGATATGAATTATGCATTATTTAAATACAGAGCTTCCCTATTGGCGGTTTGTACCCTGCTGTTGCACCATCAGCACTTTTTCCTGATGCAAACAGCGGTGCTCTCTCGCAATGCCACTTAGAAATCAGAGCACATAGTATGGGATCTCTCACGCTGTATAAATAGTTGGATTATGAAACAATCCTTCACTGAGATATCTTAATACTTAACCATATTTACTTGTGCATTTGACATATTTTTAAATTCATAACTCATTTCATTCTTAACCCCGCACCTGTCTGGAATGCAACCAGGTAAACTTTATATAAACTCCAAATGAACTCCGCATATGCAGGACAATAAACTTCCTGGATGATATTTTTTTTGTAATCTTTGTAAAATTTTTAAAAATCAAAAAGCTCTGAGGCATCAGTACGAGAAAGAATTTTGCATCTTAACCTCTAAGAAAATAATAAAAGCCCCTTCCCTTACAACTTAATTAAAGGAAGAGAGGAGAGAAAAAAAAAAAAAAAGAAAATACTAACCTGCATACACGAGCATGGTGATGAGAAGAGCAATCAAATGGACTCTGTATTTGGGATTAACACTTTCCGCTCGCAGGACTGCCAGCTGGAAAACGACAGAAAAGAGCAGTTCTATGCAGAACGCCTGCATCTCTGTAGTCTGCATGGGGCTGCTGCAGCCTTGGGAGAGCGCTCCAAAATGTGGCTCTGCCATCTCCAGACTCCAGATAAAGTGCATGAACACCCTAGCAATCACTGCAGCCACGAACTGAGCGGCGATCTTGAGTCCCCCCATCCCGAGGGATGTCCCGCCGCCCCACATGGGCTGCACGGTCCCGCAGGGATTGCAGGTGCTGCCGGCCAGGGTCAGGCCGTGCAGGACGGTGAAGCCGTAGGTGAGGGTGAGGGCGGTGTGCGGCTTCGGCTCCACATTGCCGAGCAGGCTGAGCTCGTTCGTGCAGGCGCAGATCTGGAAGGTGCTTAACATCTCCACGAGGAAAGCGAAGAGGCGCGGGTGGGAGCGCAGCCGGCGGCGGGTCAGCCTCCTGCACAGCCCCACGGCCACCACCACGCCGGACATCAGCAGCAGGGAGCTCCCGAGCCCACCGACAGCCATGCCCGGAGCTTCACAGGCCCGAGGGCTCGCAGAAGGTCCAGCCCCACCACCTGCGGGGAGAAAGAAAGGAGGAGAGGGAGGGGAAATGCCCACCCTTGCCCTCCGAGGCAGGAGCCAGCTTCTGTCCCCACCTGCGAGGCGCCTGACTCACCCTCGGCTTGGCGGAGCAAAGGGCAGGGGTGAGGGCACGGGGATCCCACTTCCCGACAGGGCAGGGGTTAGGAGAAGGAAGGTCTGTCCCTGCGGTGTCAAAGCGCGGGGCGGAGAGGGGGCTCAGCTTCCCCTCAGCCCCTCCGCCGCGGCACGGACGGAGCACCCCTCTCGCCTTCAGCCTGCCAGTGGGGAGGGCGCGCCGCCGCTGCCGCCCGCGGGGGGACGGGAGGCGAGGCGCTCCCGCGGCGGGCTCTGCGCTGCGGTGCCTCCGGCGGCTGCGAGCGCCGAGCGAGCCCCAGCGCCGAGCGAGCCCCGGCTCCGCGCCCGCCGCGGGCTCCGGGTGCGCCGCCCCCTCCGGCGGGCGCTGCGGCACCACCGCGCATGCGGGCGGGCGTGGGGCAGGGGCGCTGAGGGGAGGGCGGCGTGAGGGGCAGCGCCGCGGGTGGGAAGCGCGAGGTGTCACTGCCGGCACTGCGGGCCCCAGCCCGGGCTGTCCGCAAAAAAAACAAAACCTTACCCCGCGACAAGCTGCGCGGCAAGCCAATAATTAACACGCTCGAGAGAGAGACACATTGATTATTTCAGAGTTGCGCAAGCCCCGGTGCTCGATGGTGTTTCACAAACAAGCACGACAGCTATCAAAACTTTTTTTAGTATTTAGACATTTTAGCAAATGGAGGCGTTGCAGAATCGATTAAGTTAGAAAATACCTCTGAGATCATCGGGTCCAACCTGTGACCAAACAACACCATGAGATCTAGACCATGACACTCAGTGCCACGTCCAGTCTTTCCTTAAACACCTCCGGCGACGGTGACTCCATCACCTCCCTGGGCAGCCCGTTCCAATGTCTAATTACCTTTTCACGGTAATTAGCAACAAGGCTGGTGAAGGGACTCGAGTACAAGTCCTGTAAGGAGAGGCTAAGGGAGCTGGTGCTGTTTAGCCTGGAGAAGAGGAGGCTCAGGGGAGACCTCATCACTCTCTACAACTCCCTGAAAGGAGGCTGTAGCCAGGTGGTATCGGTCTCCTGCCCCAGGCAACCAGCAGTAGGACAAGAGAACACAGTCTTAAGCTGCGCCAAGGGACGTTTAGCTGGGACATTAGGAAGTAGTTCTTCACAGAAAGAGGGATTTGGCATTGGAACTGCCCAATTGGGCTTCCCAGGGAAGTGGTGGAGTCACTGTCCCCAGAGGTGTTTAAGAAATGTGGCACTGAGTACCATGATCTAGTTGACAAGGTGGTGTTAGGTCATAGGTTGAACTTGATGACCTCAGAGGTGTTTTCAAACCTATTTAATTCTGTGATCCTAATGTCCCACCTAAACCTCCCCTGGCGCAGCTTAAGGCTGTGTATTTTTGTCTCGTCACTTGTTATCTGGGAGAAGAGTCCAACCCCCACCTGGCTACAACCTCTTTCAGGTAGTTGTAGGGAGTGATAAGTTTCCCCCCCAGCCTCCTTTCCTCTAGGCTAAACACCCCTAACTTCTTCAGCCACTTCTCCTAAGACTTGTTTATTGGCTACAGGTTACATAGTTCTCTTATTAATTAGTAGCCTAGCTTCTATTGGTTAATGATTCTCTCATATCTTGTGCTAATTAGTCCTCATGCTTAGTCTTTCTCTTCTTTTGTGTCAGTGGGTTTCTTGGATTGGTGCTCTGTGAATTGGTAATCATGATCTTCCTCTGCAGGAATTACTTTTTACTCGGTTGGAGCTGATTCAGCACAGTTGCTGAGTTGTCTTTATTAGTTTCTTCTTTATCTTGGGAGTTCTGCCAGATGTCCTTGTGGCCTGTAAATTCTGTGTTCTTTGTGTCCACTATCAGAGGTACATCCTTCTCCCCAAGCTTTGTTAACCTCCCCCTAGGTCTGAGGTCCCTGAAATATGTGGAGTCCTAAATCCTTAACAAGGTAATTCTACCCACAAGTAATTTGTCTTTCCAACACCTGGACATCACTTAGAGCTTGCTTGTTAGCTGCTCTCAGTTTCATGCATTAAATCTCCCTCGTTGTTGATTAGGCTTAAAAGTATGCAAAGATCAGACATCAAAGAACACCCTTTCTTAAGAAAATGTTTATGTTTTCCACATTTTGCAACACGAGGAGTTTATTTCCTGTGTTCTTGGGAATCTGGCAGTGCAAAAAGCAGGTGCACAGGTTGCTTCAGTCTCTTCTTCCGACTCGCTTGCTGGGAGAAGGCGTTTGACAGAAAGCCCAGAAGAGGCAGGTGGTGATTCTTGGGCTTCTCCAGTGGAAGTGATGCTAAAAATAGGCATCACCCTCATCCTGCAGCATGTGCTAATGCTGGCTTTCATAGCAGGTCCCAAATGGCCTCGGGACAGTCCTGGAAAAATAGGTATAGCCTCCTAGAAGATAATTCTTTGAGCCTGGTGACTGAGAAGAGTGAATCCAGCATGAGGTAATTGGGAAATACTTCCTGTCCCATTAGGCTGGGGCCAAGTTTTCCTTCAGTTTCTCCCTGCAGTGCTAATTTGCAGTGTTTGGAACAGGTTGTACCTCTCTCCAGAAAGTTTTTCTTGTGGGGAGAGTGAAATAAATACCCAGGCTCTGAGCACGTGCATGGTTGTGCCATGTGTCCCTGAATGTACTGGGTTAGTTTTCACCCTAATAAAATAAGAGTAAATGTGTTTTGTGGTACTATTTTCCTGCTTTTCATCCTTAGTCACTGACTGGTGATGTGTTTTTAGGAATGCCCAAACCCTGATTTTATGAACTCTAAAACTGAATCGCAGGGGCACCTGCAAGGAGGGGCAAATGCTGACTGTTTTTCCAGAATTCCAGTATTTTTGCCACAAGGTGGCATCAATGACAGCTTATCAGACCTCGCAGGAATGACTTTTGCCCAGTCAAGGTCCGTGTATCAATCAATACGGTGTATTTCTTGTAAGGAGGAAATACACAGATATATTGCTTCCAAGCAACAAAAGCAAACCCTTACTTTTAGTTGAAGGTCTGCCTGCCATAAAGATCAAAGTTGAAAAACACAGAATTGTTCTCTAGGAGGGAGTAATGTGACACAATCTTCCTCGTTTCCAGAAGGACAACTGGGACAGCTGGGCCTAAGAAGTTTGAGGATAGAAGAATATTTGGAAGGCTCAATTTCCCAAAGGAACGTTTGGCTTTAAGAAATAGGGATATTTTAAAAAAAGAGGTGAAAATCCAGGAGTTGAACAGTGATAGTATAAAGAGAGGAAAGGAAAAAATGGCAGAGTGATTAATATTTGGTTTTTATTGTTTGTGGAAGATTAGATGTCAAGAATTGTGAGTGAGGCAAAGCAGCAGACATGACTCTGTTGAGTCATTACAAAATTCCCAATGCACCTCCATGAAAACCATGCACTGAAGCAATTGCTTTTCTCAGCAGAGGTGTTCTGTATCTGTAATACAGAAGAAAAAGATTCAGTTATGTCCTTTATGTATTTAAGATTTTGGATGAAATTAAGCAATGTCCTGTTAGAATTAAGGATCAGAATAAGAAAACTGGCTTTTAATATATAGAGGGACTCCTCTGTTTTATTTGTTTGTTTGTTTATTTCTTTGAGCGTAGCTTTATGCACTCAGTTTTGAATTCATTGGTGACCATGTACACAATTATGGATGTGGCCAGCACTAACTTGGAAAAATTATCTTCTATTTTTCTTTCCTACCAGTGATACTGTGTTTTTTATTAAATGCTTGTATTAAGGTGACATGTAGGGACTGGAGTGCGTTGGTCTAGGAGCTCTCTTGCACACTCTAAAAGCAAATCTCACAAGAGCTTATTTTCCAAGGAGATATAGCAGAAAAATGCTGGTAATAGCTTTATGTTTTGTTGGGGAATTTAGTATTCCTTTACTTACACAGCTAAGCACAGCCATATGTGTTGTTCCTATTCTTGAAGGTTGACAAAGAACATAAAAATTATTGCCAGTCTCTTTGTGAGCCTTGGACAGTTATTTGTGCGTGCAACCAGTCATGAATTTGTCATTTTAAAACAGACTAATAAGGAAGATGTTTGATTTAAGAGCACACTCTTGATGTGGATTACTGAAGTGTGGATTGGAATTGATTGCTTTCTTTTTTTTTAGTTGGTGCCAATGACAGGAATAAAGTCAAACAAGCTGTAGTTATCTGTATGACCAGCTGCAAATACATTACCTTCCTGGTGTACATATAACTGTATTTTTTGACCACCAGAGGGTAGTGTCATTCCAAACAATTGCTTTTGGTGTGCTTTTATAGCAGCTTTATTTTGTGTTTTGCCACTGGGAGGTGAGAATATAGATCTTCTATGTGCAAGTTCAAGCCCTTAATTTTGTAATTTGTAAAAACAAGTGTTCAAGCCTGAAGTGTCTTTTAAAATTTATTTTAGACTATGAAGTTTCTTGATATTGAATGAGTTGGGATCATCCAGTTTCTTCTTCCTTGTGGCATTGCTGTCTCTGTGTCTCATTCCAAGTTGTCCTTGTGTCTGCTCCCTCCTCCGTGTACAAGATTCTTTTGTGCTCCTGCCTGCTCTATACCAGCACATATATAGTTTCCCTTTCCTGTGAAACATCCCATTTTCTTTCCTCCTCTCCTCATGTCAGAGTCCCTCCACATCCTTTTCTCCTATTTTCCCTTCCATGCATATCAGTCCTTGAATTTTCCTTCCTATTTGTATGCATTCCTATTTTCCTTCTCTGCCCAAACCCTTGTATTTCCTGCTTTTTCTGTATGCAGTTAACTGTTCTTAGCTCTGTATATGGTTTCAACCCAGTTCCTTCCTAAAATTCCCTCATCTACTTCCTTTTCCTATGGGAGGCTGAGTCATTTAGAGGGTATCAACATGCCAAGAATTCTTGGATGGGTTTTGCAGGGGTGAAATTGGGCATTACCATGCTGGAAAATGCTGGCGAACGCTTCCATCCACATTAATGTTAATGAATAATTGCAGAGGAGTCAAATCTGTAGTTTAAGTAATTATATACCAGGGAATCAATGTGTCCCCTTTTTCTCTGTTGTGGTTTAGTTGGTCTTCCCCCAAATTAGTAGATTTCCACTGACATTTAAAGCTTTATTGGAAATTGATTAGATTCAGAAAGTAGAAGTAGTCATAGTGCCTCCAAACAGAAAATCCTTGTTGAGCACAGGCCCGGGCAAGCTCGGGCACGGCTTCAGTAAAGCTTTTCTTAGCAAGCGGTTGCAGAAGCTTGGGACATTTCCCCTTTCTGGCTGCTTTTCACAGCAGTTGGGGGACAGTGCCAGGATTTGCACCA